CCCCCCCCTAATTCTTAGGTTCTTGGTATCTACATCCTATTTCACTTACCTTATTTGTGTGTGTCTTCCAAACACATTTTTTCAACATCCTTTATTTGGTCATCTCTCTAACATCTAGGAACTTTCTCCTTTTGGACACCAACCAACCAGAAGAGCATGTGGGTGCAGCAGTGTCAAATAAGTAGGGAAGGTCTTTCCCAGCACATCTTTCTTTTGTCTTGTGACCTGATCCAGAAGCATGCTCACATAATACAATTACCGGAGAATCTAATTGCTGTACATCTAACAATTTCCTTAGTGCATGTTAAAATCTAGTACATTTAGAAATGTATAGTCAAATTTGGCCAGGCTGTGACAGGGTTAGGAAAAAAAACATTCCTGACAGAGCAATATCCTGTAAAATTTCTTGGTGTTGTCCAAGGCCTGGAATTACCAGAGTTTCTCAGTTCACCAAATATAAGCATTACTTGGCATGGGTAAAATGGTGCAATGGTTTGTTTGTCATTCCCCCTCCAAGGTCCTTTCAAGAAATATTTGAAAGTTGTTTTTTTTTTTTCCATGCTGAAAAGTTCTTAGAGAAAATCAGTTTGAGCCAGACATATATTGCATGTTCATGTTTCAGCTTGACTGATGTAAATTAAGAAAATTACTGGCAAACCATCTTGAAAAACCCCTTGATACAGGGACTGCCGTTAGATTATTTGAGTTGCTGAGACAGGCAGCTCCAGTGCCGGCAGGATCTGCAGCGGAGTGCTCCAGTGCAATGCACAGGGGGTTTCCCGAACTGGGGGAACCTGAAAGGGAGCCAAGATCGGTGCCGGGAGCCTGCAGCTCGCGCCACGGAGGCTGTTGGGACCTGGGCAGGGCCAGGAGCAGTGACAGGCAAGCCCCCCAGCCACGTATGAAAGAAGTCCTTGGGGAGCGCTAGCCAACAGGACCTGGCACAGCAGTTTGCGTGGAAGGGCGTGCAGGAAGGGTGCTGAAGCTCTGCCAGCTCGACCAGGAAGCCATGGTATCCACCTGGCAGAAAGCCATGACCTCTCTAAGCTTTGCAGCCACCACGACTGATGCAGCTGCCCAGACAGAGCTCTGGTAGGAACACGCTGCCAGCCAGGTGTCGGGCTGCGGGCCGTGCCCTGCTCTTACGCCAGGACAGGACGGTGAGCAGAGCTGTGGGAGGTGCGCCCGGGGAGAGGAACTCCTCTGCTTAGTGACAGAGCTCTGGGAGGAGGTGAGTAGGTTGAGGAGTATCAGGGAGTGCGAGAGAGAGAGAGACTACTGGAACTGCACCCTACCTTCCCTGAGACAGGCCCAACAGGCAGACAGGACGCGTGATACAGAGGATTCCGTATCCTCTCCCTGCCTGGCTGAACACAGTGACTTAAGGTATAGGGTGCAAGGGCAAAAAATTCCTGCCTGGTGCAGCAGGCATGTCTCCTCTCTGACTACCCCACCTTCCCAGGTGCCCTTGCATAATAGGTATGAGGCTCTGCAAGTGGAATCAAACAATAATCGCAGAATATCTCAAGTTGGAAGGGACCCATAAGGATCATCGAGTCCAACTCCCTGCTCCTTGCAGGACTACCTAAAACTAAACCATGTTGACTAAAAGCGTCCAGATTCTCCTTGAACTCTGACAGGCTTGGTGCCATGACCACTTCCCTGGGGAGCCTGTTGCCATGACCAACCACCCTCTCAGTGAAGAAATTTACTTCTGTTTTAACTTCTCCTGCTTCACTGTTGTTATTGTTAATACGCTGTCGGAGCCTAGAATGGACAGTAGGTGCTGAGCTGGCATACAGCCATCGCAGTTCAAACATGTGATGAGATTGCTGGCTTCTTTAAGGAAAGGGGTCACAAACTGGTGAAAGCAGAGGTCCCCCAGTTGAACTGGGGTTCATCAATATCAGGAGACCATTGCTGCCCACAGGGATTTTCTAGAGCAATGAGGGCAGATTGGGAACTTCTCAGGACTGGAGCTGGGCAATAATGAGGACAATGGTTCATCTAGCTTGGAGGTGTCACTGAGGTTAAGTCGGACCTACGCCCTGCATCAAAACTGCTTCCATAAAGAAAAAAAGACTGGTCATTGTCATAGAAGACTCCCTTCTGAAGGGAACAGAAGGCCCAATATCCAGACCAGACCCACTTCTTAGGGAAGTCTGCTGCCTCCCTGGGGCTCAGGTTAAAGATGTGAAGAGAAGGCTTCCTATTCTGGTATGGCCCTCAGATTATTATCCATTATTGATTTTTCAGATAGGCAGCAATGAAGTTGCAGCAACAAGTCTGAGGGCAATCAAGAGAGACTTCAGGGCCTTGGGATGACTGGATAAGAGATCAGGAGGACAAGTGGTGTTCTCCTCTATCCTTCCAGTTGCAGGAAATGATGAGGGAAGAAACAGGAAGAGCCAGCAGATCAGTACCTACCTCCAAGCCTGGTGTCACTGGCAGAATTTTCTGGTTTTTTGATCATGGCTTGGTTTACATGACACCAGCCCTACTGGCAACAGACAGGGTACACCTGTCTCAAAGGGGGAAAAGGATCTTTGCACAGGAGTTAGCAGGGCTCACTGAAAGAGCTTTAAACTGGATTTGAAGGGGGAAAGGGATAAAACCAGACTCACTCACTAGAGAGAAGTGTGGGGGCAGCATGCCAGTGTTCGAGGGATGGTATGCTAGCAAGGTCCTTTGGTCTGCCATCTCAGTGGAGGTAGGTGATGGAGATCCATGTGGCAGCAAAGATGCAAGGGTTATTGGTGTGTTGGAAACCACGAAAGCGCCTGAGAACAGTCACGTAGGAAGTAGGGCTTATCCCTCCAAAAAGGTGGCGCAATCAGTAGCCCAGCTGAAGTTCATCTACACCAATGCACACGGCATGGGCAACAAACAGGAGGAGCTGAAAGCCATTGTGCAGCAGGAAAACTATGATATAGTTGCCATAATGGAAACACGGTAGGATGACTCACACAACTGGAGTGCTGCAATGGCTGGCTATAAACTCTTCAGAAGGGATAAGCAAGGAAGAAGAGGTGGTGGGGTAGCCCTGTATGTTAGGGAGTGTTTTTATTGTCTAGAGCTTAACGATGGTGACAATAGAGTTGAGTGTTTATGGGTAAGAATCAGGGAGAAGGCCAACAAGGCAGTTATCATGGTGGAAGTCTGTTATAGACCACCCAACCAGGATGAAGAGGCAGATGAAATATTCTATAAGCGTCTGGGAGAAGACTCACAATTGCTAGCCCTTGTTCTTGTGGGGGACTTCAACTGACCAGATGTCTGCTGGAAATACAAGACAGCAGAGAGGAAACGGCCTAGGAGGTTCCTGGAGTGTGTGGAAGATAACCTCCTGACACAGCTGGTAGGTGAGCCAACTAGGGAAGGTGCCGTACTTGTTGTTTGTGAACAGAGAGGGACTTGTGGGTGATGTGATGGTTGGAGGCCACCTTGGGCATAGCAATCACGAAATGATAGAGTTTTCAATTCTTGGAGAAGTAAGACAGGGGTCAGTGGAACTGCTGCCTTGGACTTCTGGATGGCAGATTTGGCCTGTTTAGGAAACTGGTCGACAGAGTCCCTTTGGAGGCAGTCCTGAAGAGCAAAGGAGTCCAGGAAGGCTGGGCATTCTTCAAGAAGGAAATCTTAATGACACAGCAGGCCATCCCCATGTGCCAAAAGACGAGCTGGCGGGGAAGACCACTGGCCTGGCTGGACAGAGAGCTTTGGCTGGAACTTGGGGAAAAAAGGAGAGTTTATGAACTTTGGAAGAAGGAGCAGGCCTCTCAGGAGGACTATAAGGATGTCATGAGGTTTTGCAGGGAGAAAATTAGAAGGGCCAAAGCCCAACTAGACTTTCATCTGGCTACTGCTGTAAAAGACAATTAAAAATGTTTCTAGAAATACAAGGAGGGCTAAGGAGAATCTCCATCCTTTATTGGATGTGGGGGAAAACATAGTGACAAAGGATGAGGAAAAGGCTGAGGTACTTGATGCCTTCTTTGCCTCAGTCTTTAATAGTAAGACCAGTTGTTCTGTGGGTGCCCAGGCCCCTGAGCTGGAAGACGGGGATGGGGAGCAGAATGAAACCCCCATAATCCAAGGGGAAAGGGTTAGCGACCTGCTACACCATTTAGTCTATGGGGCTGGATGGGATCCACTCCAGGGAACTGAGGGGGCTGACAGAAGTGCTTACCAAGCCTCTTCTGTTTATCAGCAGTGCTGGCTAACTGGGGAGGTCCCAGTTGACTGGAAGTTAGCAAATGTGACGCTCATGTACAAGAAGGGCCGGAAGGAGGATCCAGGGAATTACAGGCCTGCCATTCTGACCTTCGTGCCAGGGAAGGTTATGGAGCAGATCATCTTGAGTGTCATCATGGGGCACATGCAGGACAACCAGGGGATCAGGCCCAGTCAGCATGGGTTCATGAAAGGCAGGTCCTGCTTGACCAACCTGATCTCCTTCTATGACCAGGTGACCCGCCTAGTGGATGAGGGAAAGGCTGTGGATGTTGTCTACCTGGACTTCAGTAAGGCCTTTGACACCGTTTCCCACAGCACTCTCCTGGAGAAACTGGCTGCTTGTGGTCTGGGCATGCGTACTCTTTGCTGGGTAAAAAAACTGGCTGGATAGCTGGGCCCAAAGAGTGGTGGTGAATGGGGTTAAATCCAGTTGGCGGCGGGTCACAAGTGGTGTTCCCCAGGTCTCAGTGTTGGGCCCCGTTCTGTTTAATATCTTTATCAGTGGTCTTGATGAGGGGATGGAGTGCACCCTCAGTAAGTTTGCAGACCACACCAAGCTGGGAGGCAGGGTCGATCTACTTGAGGGTAGGGAGGCTCTACAGAGAGATCTGGTCAGGCTGGATCGATGGGCTGAGGCCAACTGTATGAAGTTCAATAAGGCCAAGTGCCTGGTCCTGCACTTTGGTCACAACAACCCCATGCAGTGCTGCAGGCTTGGGGAAGAGTGGCTGGAAAGCTGCCCGGCAGAGAAAGACCTGGGGGTGCTGGTCGACAGCCAGCTGAATATGAGCCAGCAGTGTGCCCAGGTGGCCAAGAAGGCCAACAGCATGCTGGCCTGTATCAGAAATAGTGTGGCCAGCAGGAGCAGGGAGGTGATCATCCCCCTGTACTGGGCACTGGTGAGGCCACACCTCGAGTCCTGTGTTCAGTTTTGGGCCCTTCACTGCAGGAAAGACATGGAGGTGCTGGAGCGTGTCCAGAGAAGGGCAACCAAGCTGGTGAGGGGCCTGGAGCACAAGTCTGATGAGGAGCAGCTGAGGGAGCTGGGGCTGTTTAGTCTGGAGAAGAGGAGGCTGTGGGGAGACCTTATCGCTCTCTACAACCACCTGAAAGGAGGGTGTAGTGAGGTGGGGGTTGGTCTTTTCTCCCAAGTAACAAGTGATAGGACGAGAGAAAATGGCCTCAAGTTGTGCCAGGGGAGGTTTAGACTGGATATTAGGAAAAATTTTTTTACTGAAAGGGTTGTCAAGCATTGGAACAGGCTGCCCAGGGGAAGTGGTTGAGTCACCATCCCTGGAGGGATTTAAAAGACCTGTAGATGTGGTGCTTAGGGACATGGTTTAGTAGTGGACTTGGCAATCTTAGGCTAATGGTTGGACTCAATGAACTTAAAGGTTTTTTCCAACCTAAACGATTCTATGATTCACCTAGAGAATCGTGCAGTGTCTTCCAAAAGCCCAGAAGTGTATGATTGTGTTGTAAAATTTCAAACTAAAATGGGGATACCATCTGAGCAGGGTCCACAAATCATTTACAGGAAAAAGAAGCTATCGCCGGGTGTGGTTGAGGTTCATGGAAGTGCAAGAACACAGAATAAGGACAAAAGAACAAGAAATACAGGTTTCACTACACATACAGATATTAATTTTCAAAGTTCATTATAAAATAAGTAAGTATTAATTTACGTGTTAGAGGTAATACAGAATCCAATGGGAAACAGTATTCAGGTCAGTGCTGGCACAATGACACATTAAAATGAGCACCTTAGGAATAATAGCAGACGAGGCAACATGGTTGTGAAAGTATTGTGATTTAACATAGGAGAGGAATGGTATTTTAGCTTTGGAGTTGACTGACCTCTCTGTGATTAACTGTATAATCCTAATGTCCTTTTAACATTAATATTCATGTAAGTTGTTTTATGTGGTTGATTACTGTATAGTCTCTGTATGATGATTGTAGTTTTATTGGCGTATCATAGTGTCTTCAGTTAATACCACTTTAGATTACCTTGGGGAGGATTACTGAAGAGGTTTTTGGCTAGGGTAATGTATAAAATTTATTCTGATTCTTCAAGTTTAAAATTATTAAAACAAATATTTTTTTTCGGGCAACCTTTTGGCAAACTGTAGTGGAAAGCATTCCTCAATCGGCTTTCTTGACTCTTAGCTAAAAGATGAAAATATATTGTTGTAAGGTGGGGTTTTTTTTTTTCCCCTTCTCTTTCAGGCAATTGTACTTTGTTTTCGATTGCACTTCACAAAAGATAATATAACAAATAATACTGCAGCAGCTACAGTGCGGCAGGTAGTTACTGTTGTATTTGAGAGAGTGGTTGCTGAAGATGAACGATACAAAGGTGGGCATTCTTCTTACTCTGCTTGCTTGTATTAACCTGTTTTTTGGACACACATCAGATGCTTATCTTTTTCAGATAAAGAAGTAGTAAAAAGTCTCTAAATGTTATTAAAAAAAATCACAGGCATTATTAATTTTTACTGTCTTTTATACATTTACTTGTATTCAAAGGAGATTAAATCCTTAGCTGTTGTGTCAGTCCATGTCAGTACAGCAATATATAAAACCCAGATTTTTTTTCAAGTTGTGAGAACTGGTCTTCAGGGTAGTATTGTGAAGGAATTTGAGGTGAGGGTGTCATTTGAGGTAAAGATAACTTAGATTACTGAGTGTGAAATACACGGCAGTAGTAGTTCTGAAGAGAAAATTTATTGGAAAGAAGTGCTTGGTATTGATGCTCTTTGGTATTCACTTGTGTTTATTTCTGTAGACATGATAAGTTGCAGAAGAATTACCTGACCATTCTCCTAGAATCTTTTTGTAACAACACTTAATGCATACTTGATTTTCAACAGTTCCTTTGTTCACAAAACCGATTTTTGTTTCTACACAGACACTGTTGACCAGCCAGTTGCAGTTCAAGGAAATAGTAACAGAAGATCTGTCAGTACACTGAAGCCATGTGCTAAAGATGCTTATATGCTTTTTCAGGTAGTTGGGGAGCATATATTTATACATTTGCAGTTACAACTTGGTGCTTCTACATCTCTGTAAGAAATTTCAAAAATTTGCTATTGGCATATTGACAAGGTCCTTAACCAGAGTCTCAGGCTTTCTTATGGCGCATTTATTGTAATTGACAATGAAATGCTGTTTCCCAGGGAGATGATTGGAAAATGAAGACAAAGCAGCCTAGGAAAATGTTTTACTATAAATCTTAAATAATAGCTAAGCATGCATGTCTGCATTAAATTCAAGATTCTTTTTCCATGAACCAAATACTGCTACTGTAGTTCAGTCTTGCTTCTTGTGCTTGGTATTGTATATTAAAGTCAAGTATATAATGAAAAGTAGTAGCTGTATTCATCACGCCAATAAAAATCTTCTTGACTTAGCAAACTCACTGGTCTTGAGATATTTTTCGGGACAGGAATGAAGATAATTGCTACAAGTATACCAGCAAAATTTAAAATTTCTTTTAAGAAGTTTTTTGCTTAATAATTTATGTAAAAGAAGTATTTGAGGAAAAATTATGTTGAAATGGGAAGATTACTCATTGCAAAAGAGGGAGAGAGTGTAGATTTTGGTGTAGACTCAGAAAACTTATGGCGGTACAGGACTGTGCAGAAAATGTAAATGTTACTGTATTTCTTTTTAAGGATCTTTGTCAGTTAGTTAATGCTGATGCTCCCTACTGGCTTGTGGGTATGACAGAAATGACCCGGACATTTGGCCTCGAACTTCTTGAGTCAGTCCTCAATGACTTTCCACAAGTGTTTTTACAAGTGAGTAGTTCTTGGAGGGAAAATAGGAAGACTTTTGTTCACATGGGTAGTAAAATTTACACTTCGTTAACTCCTCTTTAATTTAGCATGAGTCCTACTTTTCAAAAGAACTTGTAGCTTTTACATGTTGGGGTTTTATGATATAAAAGTAGTGTGTGCTTTTCGTCCACTTTTTCTATTTTTATACACTTTATTCTTGCATTTTGTCAAGCATGTTGTACTGTTTCACTTTTTTTTTGCCATTTATATCTTCTCCAGAGATGCATTTTCTTATCTTGCGTGATTTATGACAGCTCTGTAACTTAGTTCGTGGCATTGTTATTTCTATGAAAACATTAACCTCGCCCCACTTGCAAAGCAGCAAGAATCATGACTATGAATTGTGTGGATCTACTGCATATAAATGCACCATGATCCTACAGTAACACATTTTAGCAGACAGTAGCTAAATAAAAAAATTAAATATATAATAAATGATGTATTAGCAGCCTATTTCAGTTTGCAAAATACAGGAAGAGGGGTGCATGGTATGAACCTGACCATGTAATTTCATCATGCTTTGTCGTAGCTTTACAATGGTGTCTGTCGTTCTTCCTTTTCATTTCCTGAGTGTGTAATTTATACCAACATTTACATGACTTCAGAGTGCTTGGTCATAACAGTAAATGTAAATAAGATGCATAATCAGAGCTACTCGTAGCAATTAAAGAATATCTACTTATAATTTGTTGTGTTTTCTTTTTCAGCATCAGGAATTCAGTTTTCTTCTTAAAGAAAGGGTATGCCCTCTTGTTATAAAGCTCTTCTCCCCAAATATCAAATTCAGGCAAGGTTCCAGCACATCATCTTCCCCAGCACCAGTGGAAAAACCATACTTCCCCATCTGCATGCGTTTGCTGAGAGTAGTTTCTGTTTTGATTAAGCAGTTTTACAGTTTGCTGGTAAGAATGTTCAAATTTTCTTTATGCAATTCTGTTTTTCTGTGTATGTGCCAGTACTGTGATCAGAAATAGTATAAATTAGTTCTTGGGAACTGTTGATGTATACTGAAGGAAGAAAAGTCTAAATATTCTTTTCCTCTTACGTGTATTTGTTTACATGTATTCTACATGTATGATTTTATTAAACATGGGCTTGTATAAATTCTCAGAGTAGATTAGCTGTTCTCTTTTCTGTACTTAACTGCCTTTCAGTTAAAGTTTTGGGAACCTTTTGATCTTACGTTGTTTGCCTGGCTTGAGATAATGTTAATTGCTGTGCCTTGTTAATACTTGCTAAGATGCTTTTGACTTGTGTTGCTAAAGCTGTTGACAGAATGTGCATAAAAACCGCATGTTCAGCTGTTCTTACCTCACAAATTTTAGATATTTGCTAAAAAAAAGATTTTTTTCAGTTACATTGGTTTACTGTAGCACATGCAAGAACTTTAATGTGATGTCTGTGAGGAATTTAACTCCTTCAATACAATTGCATATGTGGTGTTAGCTTGGCAAAAAAATTATTATTATTAGGTATTCTTTTTATATAATTTTGAGTAAATGCTTGTTGAAGGGGTTTTTTAGATCCTGTGCAAAACTTGCTGGGATGGAACTCCTAAGATGAAACAGAAGTTTTTTGGAGAAAATATTTTGTAGGAGCCTTTTTCTTTTGATTTAATAGCTATAAACTGTATCTTTTAGGTAACAGAATGTGAAATCTTCCTGTCATTGCTCGTTAAGTTTCTGGATGCAGACAAACCACAGTGGCTAAGAGCTGTTGCGGTAGAATCTATTCACAGGCTTTGTGTGCAGCCTCAGCTATTAAGGTATTAAATATATTAAGTTTCCCTTCCACATAAAATTTAAGAATTTTTCTTTTTTTTTCTCAGTGGAAAATGCTTCTTAAAACACTGTAAATATTTAGAAACTTAAATGCAATAAACTCTTCAAGATAATTTTTTTATAAAGCACTAGGCAATGCTTATTATCCAGGAAGGGCTGAATTACAGTTTTCTGAGTATTCCAAACCCTCTTGGTCTTACCAGTGTCAAAGGAGCATTTACCTAAAACTAAATATTATTATTTACCTAAATACTTGCAGTTAAAATGTGCTTTTAGTCTACAGATTGGAGGGGAGTGGGAAGTTGCTGGAAAATATGCTTTTAGTACCTAATTTGTCAAATACTTACTGTATTTTATAAAATACTTTCCAGGTCCTTTTGTCAATCGTATGATATGAAGCAACATTCCACAAAAGTTTTCCGTGATATTGTGAATGCACTGGGGTCCTTCATCCAGTCACTATTTCTTGTGCCAAGCACAGGGAACACATCAGTGATGCCAAACCAAACTGGTAAAGCTTTGTCCTTGCTATCATTTTAATTTTCCAGCATTTTCTTGTAATAATAAATTCTGATTTGATTCAGTATATACATTTGGCTTGGTACAGTTCTGTACTTTCATGCTCATTGTTCATTGAGGTGTTCATTGAGATGAAAAGCTAGCTTGAGGAAAAACTAGTGTTTTCAGGTCTGGTACAACAGGTGATTTTATCTACCTGTGTTGTGGGGAAGATGTAGCCCACAGTCAGCAGAGCAGTGCTGCTGCATTTGTATCTGCTTCTACAGCAACCAAGCTCCTTGGTTCACTACTCATCTGAGGGAAATTCTGGGGGAATTATTTCCAACTTCTGACTATAACAAATCTGATTTCTGTCTCCTTGTGCGGGGATGTCATTTATGGCAGCGTGCAAGTGAAGTAGTAAGACAGCGTGTGTTTGCTTCCTCCTGGGAGGCAATAGCTAATTCTTCTGTATGTTCAGGGGCAAAACTGGACTGATGAAGCCAAGAGGTAGAAAGAAAGATCTGTTTTACAGATGATCTTTGCTTTTCCTGTAAGCTGAAAACAGTCAGTTACTGAAACTAAACTTGATTGTCTTTTCTTGCAGCCAGGGTTTTGGCATTTCACTAGGTATATCTTTATTTCTAGAAGAAGAAATGGTCCTCCTGTTAATGCTTTTGCAGGTGTTTATGTCCGAGTTAAGGCTCTCTGCTTCTTCCCATAGTTCTGGAAGCAGAGGCCTCAGCAACAAACAAAATAAAAACAATTTCGAAGGGTGTCTTTTGACATGCCCTCTTAAAAGAGATAATAAACAGATAAAGTATAATTATTATCAATCATATCTACTATTAAACTAATAAACATTAAAAAGTCTGGGTTTAGACTCACACCTTCCAGGGTTCAATCATGAAGTCTGAATTCCAAGTTGGTGTTAGCATTGATAATGTGAAAAAATTTGTGTCAGTAGCGGTTGTTCAATAGTGGGCTGTATGGAAGCTGATAGAACATTTCTGTCAGTATTATTTCTGGGTTAGTTTAATCCACTTAAGGTAAATCAGGAGAGCGCTTTTCATCGTGTAACATGCACATATAAGAAGACATTCTAAAATACTCATTCCCCTGAAAACTTAAATTTTGCCTTCGTTTGAAACAGCACTGCAGTAGGGTCATACCCTTAGTGCTGTTGCTATTTCTCTGGCTTACTGTTCCAGTTTGTTTTCTCCTTTACATTTTCACTACTTCTTTCTGCCCGAGTATTTCTCATGTGTCTTTCTCATGCATTTGTCTTTCTGCCACTTTTCCTCCTATGGCCATGTCTAACATGCAAAAAGCAGGTCAATGCAACCTAACTTTCAAACTGAGTCTTCTGATTATAACGATAGTCCTGTTGTAGCAGGCTGTCTTGTACACCTGTAGTTGGCTTTTGAGCCTCAGTTTTGCAACAAGGTAGCTGTTTCATAGAAGTTGAATGCTGCATCTACCTAAGTTTTGTGTCACTTTTATTATACTGGTGTAATGTAAGCTTTTTTACCACTTTAAGGAGTTATGTTGATATAAAAATAGTTATATGTGTCTGCTCAGTGGTATCACAGAAAATGACACCGGTATAACTGTGTTTGTGTTAGTGGCAGTGTTTGGTTAACCATTTCTGTTTAGCAGTATGGTTTTGTTGTTTCAGTCTATTAAGCTTTACTGTGTTAAAGTGTATACATAGGCTTCTGTGTGTATTCATATTGCCTAAATTAGTAATTTAATCTCCCTGCACGTTAAAAGCGAGCACATGAAAATGGCAGTTGTTACACTGATGTATTACATGCTGTGAGTCGCCTTCTTGGCAACTCTGCCCTTCTTTCCCCATTGTCTGTACAGAGAGAGTCTTGAACTTGTGGTACTTACTCCTAGTAAGTATAGACCTCCTTCTATATGTAGCAAGTCTTATATATACAGAATTCCTTTTATTTGCTTTTTTTGGCTTCTTGAATTGGAACCAACGTTTGTTTCCTCCTAGCTGTTGGTTGGCACGTTGTCAGCTCTTCCCTGGTGTGGTTTGTTTTCTTCTACCTTGGCATGGAACAGATTCAAACGTTGCAGTTCTCTTTGAGAACTTTTACATTTCTGAAATCTTTAAAGTTTGTGTTGATCTCTTTCCTTGGAATGACTAACCTCTCTTTCCTACTAGTGAGTTCTAGATGCAACTATTCAAATAATCCTTAACTTTTAAATATCTGTCAGACTCTTCACTAAAATATATATTGTTTTCTTAAGACCACGTAAGTTTAGTTCGTTCACAGAATCTTATGAATGCTGCTGTACCTTTCACAGAAACATTTTATTCTGGCTGAAAATAAGGCAGTTGGCATCAATCAACTGTGCTTCTTGAACTGATTGCTTTGCACATAAGATTGTGTTTTAGACAGCAGAGGGAGCTCAAAAATTGTGTTGTTGTTGGTTTTTGTTATTGAGCAGGACATCTCATATTAATCTGTGTATCTCAAAAATTAAATATAGAAAAAGGATGTTTGCTGATCACTAAAATGAGATTAGTTAATTTTATCAGTTTGTTTTTTGGAACAGGAAGCAATGCATCGGGGAATACTGGCTCAGCACAGACTAACCCGGGAGTGCTTGGAGTGGGAGGAGGTGCAACTGTATTACCTGCTTTTGAGTACAGAGGCACTTGGATACCTATCCTGAATGTAACAGTACAAGGCAGTGCTAAAGCTACCTAGTAAGTACCTCTATCTTTTTGAAAATATATATAAGAAATGTTTTAATGTCCAACTTGACAGTTTAAGGATTTTTTTATTAGTGAATATTGAGGTCTTGATTTCTCTGGCATTGAAGTGTATTATGGATTTTCTTTTTGTTGGTGCCATGAGGTCTTCTGATATTTTGCTATTTTGTATGAATGCTCTGGATTCTGATCCAAATGTCCCCTATGGCTTTAGCATCTGTTGGATTTTTTTCTATCATACTGTTGCTGTATTAACTCTTCACTTTTAGGCCTCACTACAGTGTATAACAATATTAGAATATCTTTTGCTGGGTTGTGTAATGGCAAATATTAGGGGCATTAAGCAAATGGGACAGCAGTGGGAGTGAAAAATAGCTTTCTTACACCAGCTTTACTGTATTTACAGTTTTTATTGAATGGGATATTGTGGTAGATATTGGCCAGGTTGTTATTCCAAACAATATATTGACCTATATATGAAGGTTAGACTGTGAATGCTTCTTAGAGTGACCAATTATTTTGTCGTGACTTTGTATAATGGAGATGGTGCTCTCAGTTTAGAGCTGTGAATACTACATTACTTTTGAAATAGTGGAATTTTTTTCATGACCATTGAAGGTCAATCTCTTCCAAATTGAAAGTTACTTGTACAGCCCGTGAAATTTTGGCATACAAATAATACTCAGTGAAATCAGCAAATAGCCTGGATCTCAATGCTTTTTTTAAGGTAGAAACTCCTTTTTCTGCCTTTGAGACTCAGAAGGATAAATTCATCCTCAGATTTCAATAGTTTAACTTGTTATGTGTTGACTTCGCTTTTTGTTCCAGCAGTGGCCATGAATGTTATTTTAGATTACCTGACTGTTCTCAGGAAATGCAAATTTTTAACAAAAGTGGATGAAAGCTAGGTCATGCTTTGGCCAGCTAATAACACCTCCTGCTTTTCTTCCTTTTCTTTTCTCTTACTTTATATTCTTAACTGGCTCAAGGACATTGCAGTCACCATCACAGTCTCCTGTGCTGCATTGAACTTGCTTGTATCTTTACCTTTGGATCCCTTAGTGACTCCATGATTCCCTCTGAGTAATTTTTGCATTCTTTTTTTCTTTTGTGTAAGATTGCAGAATTGTTGCTAGCATGTCATGTCAGCAGTTTTTCTCCTATCTTGTACGTTTGTCGTCCTTGCATGTAAGGAGATGACTAACTGTAACTGTAGATTTGGGTCACATCCTAGCACTGATTCTCTCTTACTGCTGCCATTAGATTTTCAGACAATGGCCACATCTTGTATTTCTACACAACAATTTAACTGAAGATAAGAATTGTGAACAGAGCTAGCAGAGTCTTTTTGCCAGTGTGGGCCTGTCTCTTCCCAGACCACTCTGCCTTGTCTTCCTCTTTACATGAGGAAGTAAGTATTTTTTTTAGAGGAATAGACAAAGATTATTCAAAATTTTTCATGGCCATTCCCATGTAACTGTAACAACTCGCTTCATTTATTCAGCAGTTTGCTTTGCAGTCTTTGAAAGTAAGAGTACATGACCTCTACCTCACAGGTACATTGTAACTATAAAACCCATTAATAATTTTAACAGAGCCATAGATATGTACACACTTACTTGTAGACAGAGGGTGAAATGTTGACCATTTGATTTCCCTATACTGCCTATGCCCCCAGATATCTAAGGCAGCCATCTGCAGCAAATTAGAGGTAATAGCTGAAGTGTTATGTGTTTGGGAGAAGGAAACTCCTTTGTGCAGAAAAGAGTGGTAACACTACAGTACAAAAGTGTCTTTGGTATATAGTAGCTGGAATGCCTGGCCCTTTTAAAGAGAAGTTTGTAGAGCAAATGATGAAATAGTGGTTGTTGGGGTAGCAGGTAGTTTTTGTAACAGACTGTCTCTCCTTGTGTAGTTGCTGCTGCTGTGGCAGCTAGAATCTGTTTCCTGCTGGATTTGTAACTCAGCAGTGCTTTATGTACATTTAAAGTAAAATATGAAGAAAAGCGGCAACGAGGCTGCAGTTCCAGCATAATGATGTTTTAATTGAATGGTTTTCAGCAGTGAATCATGTAGACATTTATTCTTTGTACAAATATCTTCCATTGTTTACCTATGCATGTAGGTGATGAATATTTGGTTATATATTATCTAGCTATGACAGGCTTTTCTGGTCATATGGACTCAAAGATAATAATGGAACATCTGATTGTTCTCAATTTGTTATAACTATGTTCACAGTGTCATGACTTCCTGACCTATTTCCTCTGTTGTTCCTATGTCCTTGTGTTCTGAATAGGTTCTGTTGCAGTGGCTTGAAGTAAAATAATAATATAAGTAGAATAATTCATTCAGTGATGCTTGCTTACATGTGTTAATTTTTTAAAATATTTATTTGCAGATCTAAATACAGTGCTCAGGGTTTGTACTCTTTCATTTACTATTTTATTTAGTGACTCATTTACTCTTTTACTTAATGACTTGATTAATCAAGGAATTTTTTTTCTTGAGTTGCTATAAATCTTGAAGGATGGTGTTTGGGGCCTGTTTGTACTTAACATTCATTTGCAATCTTGTTCTTTTGTTACCGTTTTTAATCACAGTGGTACTATTACATGCTTGTCATGCTTTCATTTTTTTAGTTTGGAAATGCTGGACAAAGTAGAGCCACCTACGATTCCTGAAGGCTATGCCATGTCAGTGGCATTTCACTGTTTACTGGATCTTGTCCGTGGTATCACTGCCATGATTGAAGGAGAGTTGGGAGAAGCAGAAACAGTCAGTCAAAGCACAACAGAGACAACTTCATTACCAGCACAGTCTTCAGAGCAGCAAGACTTGCAGTCTGTATCTGACCAAACAGAGAAAGAACTAGGTATTTGAAAATGCAAACACTATATAAAATACAGCAGTTTTACATAAAGCAGGATTAAAATAGTTCATGCTTTGTTGCTTAAATTTATTGTTTCTAAATCATATATTAAAACTTTTAATGAAGTGGGTTTTGGTTGGGGGGGGTTGGTGTGGTATTTGGTGGGTTTGTTTTTTTGAGGTTTTTTTTGTGTAATGGGACAGCAGTAGTCTCTAAAAAAAAAAAAAAATACTTGACTTGAAGCACTGCTTCTGTCCTTGGTCCTTATAGCACCTTGGCCATAGACTCCTTGTGGTCTATTAATGCTGTTTTACGTGTACGTGCATGGGATGTGAGGGAGAGAGAACAGGCATTCTGTTCTCCAGAACTACTATTCTGCTTTTCTGTGTCCTTAATTCTGCTTAACACTGAGATCCAAGGTTGCAAGAGACAACCTGACGGAGAGAAATTTGGCAGTTATGACCACATTAAAAGAAAAATGTATTTCTAGTAACAAGATAAAAAGATGATCATTTTAATGGAGAGATTTTAAACAAGATTGAAGTATTTAGGGAAGAACTTCTTGAAAAGCAGAACTAGTAGGATCTGAGGCTTGTATTTTGTGCACCATGTGAGGAGTCTGTACATGTACGTACAGAAAGACTTGGCTCTCCGGAGTGGTTTTGGCTTGTGTCCCGGGAAGCAGAGACCGTAGCGCAGCGGTCGGTACCGCGGCCCCGCCGGTGCAGCGGGACGGACGGATGGTGCAGCGGGACGGACGGATGGACGGACGGACGGGGTTTGTCCCAAGCGCTGCCCGCGGCCTCGGTGCTGTGGAGCTCTCCGTGGTGCTGCAGGCAGCACCAGCTCAGCCCAGGCTCGGGGCAGGTTAAAGGTCTGTTGGACCTGTATTTTTTTTTCTATTAAAGAAATGAAAAAATATGGAGAATTATAAATATCAGGGGAGAGTATTTTTCCTTCGCTGTAAAATTTCAGTGAGTTTCTTGTCCCACATTTATACACTTCTGAATGTTTATTTTTACAGACAAAGATTAAAAATAGTTATGTATACCTCTAAGGTTTGGGGTTTTTTTTGTGTGTGGTGGGTGATGCTGGTGTAATTTAGAATAAGCATTGCCTTGGTGACATTTGTACTTTAGCAGTGTTACTTTAAATGCAGCTCCTTAAATGGTACTGGTGTGAGTGTGTTTGTATATACACACATATGTGTCTGTGTAAACATGCATATAAAAATGCACTTTAAAAGGTGCTGTAGGAGGCATTTTGTTTGTGATTTAATTGAAAGTTATTGAGAAAAATACTGTGTTTCTGCTATAAAGAAATATATGTATTTCTTTCAAGTTAGCAGAGCTGTATGGGAAGAAATGGTGAATGCTTGTTGGTGCGGTCTTCTGGCTGCTTTATCCCTCCTACTTGATGCAAGGTATTTGGTCTTTCATTTCTCTTGATTTTTCCAATGATGACATTCCCAGCTATATGTTGAACTGACTTGATACCAGTCAAGTTGATGGTTTTATGAGAGCGCACTTCTCATGGCAACAGAGCAGACAGGTTTGTGGGTTAGTGATGGCTAGACTGAGTGAGGATCTGTTAAGAGTAAATGACACAGAAGTCTCCAGAAGCCTATCATCAACCTTTAATGTATTTCAATGCAGAACAATTAATTAACATTTTCAAAAGCTTGCATTTAAACTATTTACATTATTTTTACTCCTTTTTACTTTGAGTGAATGCTTCAATACACTGAAGTAATTCTATATGTCCTGATTACTGTTGATAAGAGACTAAATAATGTCTTGGTGCTTGTTAGTACTATGCAGTCTTTGAAGTGGAAAAGCTATTTACTAGGTAATAACTTTGGTAACTTAATTGTCTCTTTCAAAGAGTCTTTTGTTATCAAACACCATTTTCTGAAATTAGTGTTAAATACCTCCTCATACTCTCCTTTGCCAAGTCAGTCAAAACTAACGACCAGTTTTATAGGAAATGGTTCTGAGGAATTTTGTTGATTGGTTATGCTTGCTCTTCAGTATTTATAGTGTTGACAGGTTTAAAGTATACGTTCTCACTGCTTTCAGTTTTGTTTAGCTGCCTGCTTCTGTGCCATGGATTAATTCTTACTAAATAATGTGTACTCTTTCAGTACTGATGAAGCTGCCACTGAAAATATTCTAAAAGCAGAATTGAACATGGCTGCACTTTGTGGAAGACTGGGTCTTGTAACATCAAGAGATGCGTTTATCACTGCCATTTGCAAAGGATCCTTGCCTCCTCACTATGCCCTTACTGTACTAAATAACACAACTGCAGCTCTGTCCAGCAAATGTAAGTATATAGGTTTTCCTTAATTGTGTTTCCATGCATTGTCCTCTAAACCCAATTTTTTTCAGGATGTGATTGCAAAGATAGGCAACTGTAGTATTTGGATATACTAAATTGTTAGAATCCTCAGACAGGATCTAGACCGCCTGCTTTCCAGAACTGATTAGTCTTGCAGCATCTGCTGGGTATCATTCTAGTCAACCTAAAACTTCCTGAATGCTTAGCATATATCAGAAGTTCATATTCTACAGAGATCTGTCTGTCATCCTAACAGATCTGTTAGGATGTCATTAAGGCATGCAAATTCTGAAAACATCTCTGGGTGACTTAGGTAATTAAGAGTTGGCTAGAACATCCTGCATTTGTGGTGTACTACAGTCTTTCCTACAATTGTCTAGTGATGGTAGTACTTACTATGTAAATGGAAGGTCTTAAGTTCTAGACTCTGTTCAGCTTACAAGAGGTTGAATTGATGCTTCCCACATCTTGAGAGAATGTTGTAATTCATGGGATATGCCAGTTGCAGATGTACTCTGTTTCTAATTTTGAAAATTAATTACTATGTACTGAGAAATGCAACTACCTGGAGAATATGCAGATGGGCCTAACATTAGACCTCTTAATTTAAAACAAAAATACCTTAGTCTGGGAACAAGGACCAGTGCCTTTACTCCAGCCCACAAGCTAAGTGCATTACTAGATCGTAAGTCTGTGAAGCAGTATACGTGACTGAGCTACATTAATCTCTATGAAAATGAAGCAGTGAACTTAAGTTATTTTATATAGATTACTCTTCATTTTACAGGTGAGTTATAAAATGGGTGTACTGAAGTCCTGTATTGCAAAAATATCATGACATAGCATTTATGACATCTTCATTTTCTGAGTGCGCTAGTACAATGGTAGCACACAGTGATACCATTTACGCACAATTGTCACAGATACCTGAGTTGAGGCATAGTCTAATGCTCGTATCTTAGTGCAAATAGTTCAGTCTCAACATAAAATGTATTAATGTATTGCAAGAAATATCTAATAGTTAGTGAGAAGAAGTAATTACTGGCTCCTTTAACTCCGTAAGGCTTGAGGTTGTATTACATAATAATTAAATACAACTAAATTACATAATAATCTAAATACAACTAAAGGTCTCAAAGTGAGCTACCTTAAAGCTAATACTGTGAAAAAATTCTCTGGAGTGTGTTTGCCAGGAAGTGATTGTTACTACAAGTAAGTACTGGATTTTAAATTCAGATTCTTTTATTTTCAATTTTCCTCTAGCATATTCCATTCAGGGACAGAATGTTCAAATGATCAGTCCCTCAAGTGAATCTCATCAGCAAGTTGTAGCAGTAGGGCAACCCTTAGCTCTTCAGCCACAGGGAACAGTAATGGTAAGTACAATTTGTAAGTCATCTCATCCTGCTTAACTGTTTCTTTCTGCATCTCAATGTGTCTCAAAAATAAACAACAGATAAACCGCATTCTTACAAATAATGGTTATCTGAAATATTATTCTACACTTTTAGTTTGGAACAGCCCTGGACAGCAAAGTTCTCTAACTGTAAAGAAGACTTACTCTTGTTATCTGCCTCTTAGCTCAGCAGCTCCCATCCATTCCGTTTGAAAACCCTAGGGCTCAGCTCTGTTATGCGCCTGTTTGTGAAGGTTCGCTTATTTGGTTTTTTTAAGATAGGCTGATTTTGTGGAGAAGATGCACTTAAAGCTGGAGTGCTTGAACTTGTGTCTTTGACAGTAATGTGAAGCTGGGAGGAGAGGGCAGTGATCAAATCGTATTCAACCCCAGCAAGATAAGACTGAGATAAGAAGGAGAGATACTGAACTACTTCTTTAAAAAAGATACATTGCACCAGTGCAAAGCAAATTTAATATTTAAGCTATTTAGTAAAAAATTGCAGGTTTCCTAGAAACACTATTGTTGTAGAATAATAAAAATTGTGTGGTTGTTTGTTTTGGGTTTTGTTTTGGTTTTGTGTTTTTTTTTTTTTTTTAGTTGACTTCAAAAAATATCCAGTGTATGAGGACATTACTCAACTTAGCTCACTGCCACGGAGCCGTTCTTGGTACATCATGGCAACTTGTCCTGGCTACTCTTCAGGTATAATAAGAAATATTTATGCCTTGCTTTTTTGCCATAATTTGGTTTTGAGGGTTTTTTTATGTGAGCAATAGAAGAAGCTTTGATTCTACTCATGGCGTACTTTGAATTGCCTTGAGTAAGTACTGTAGCATTTCCCTTGAATTCTGTTTGGCTGGAAGGCTGCCAGATAGGTCGAGCACAATGTTAGTTTCCTCTCTGCCTGAAAAGGCTTTTCTGCTGAAAATTATCTTTTTGTATTTCAGCATCTTGTGTGGATTCTGGGACTGAAGCCTGGTGTTGGGGGTGCATTAAAACCTGGGAGAGCTGTAGAAGGGCCCAGCACAGTAAGCATGATTATTCATTTTACAGTTAATGATTATGCAGTATTTTCTATTGCAATCTGTAAGACACATTTCTGTCTCTTTTTCCAGGTTCTGACTACAGCAGTTATGACTGATCTGCCAGTTATATCCAACATACTTTCAAGGCTTTTTGAAAGCTCACAGTAAGAAACCTTATCTTGTAATTAAAATAATGCATGTATGTCAAACTAGGCAGTGTTTTGATAGCTGTTATTTTTCAGGTACCTTGACGACGTGTCTTTACATCACTTAATAAATGCCCTTTGCTCCTTGTCTCTGGAAGCCATGGATATGGCCTATGGAAACAATAAGGTATAAAAAGAGTTCTTTATTTCCTTTTTAGATGTTTTTGTGAAACAGGCAGAAGACTTGTACATTTATCCTTTAAGTTAACTATTTCTAATGTTAAGACAGTAATACATTTGATACTCTAGAGTAAGAGATAAATTATGAACCAGAGAATGTCTTGTTTATAATGGTTCATACGGTTACTGAATTCTCTGAACATTCTCATTATGTTCCTGCTAAGTGTTTTGTTAACTAAGGAATGTCATGTGTTTCTATTAATCAGATTGTGGGTGGATAAAACTTTTAAAAGCCCGTGTAATTTCAGAGGTTAGGGATTCTGAATAGCACAGTATGTTCTGCGAGGTGCTCATTTTCATTTCGTTTTTCTTTTATTAAATACTTCAGAAAAAGCCTGACAATTTAGACATTAAAAAACCCCTGATCGTTCATATTTACTTGGAAAAATTATAGTATTCCTGTCAGCCTCAGTAAACAACCTTTAGCCCAGAAAGGTTAAAGACCCCATGATTGAATAAAATTGAGTATATATTCTCCTAGTCATAATCTAATCCCACAGGAGAGTTTCTGAGAGTTTTTCCTTGATCTGTTACACTAGACATAAAGCATATTTTCTGTCATCTTCATAATATTTGACAATTATAACAACAGAGAATGAATTCAGATAAGCAAAGTTGGTGTTTAAAATCAGTTGCAAATGCGAATTAAAAAATCCACAGAAACGGGAACAGAGAATAATTCCAGCACAACAGTCGTTTTGACTATTTGTTGATTTAAAAAATTTTTTTTTAAAAAATAAGCTTATCGCAGATATTTGCATATGTATTTGATGAATGGGAAATTTATAATATTCCTGCAGGGCATTTATGAAGCCAATGGAAGAGAAAGCATAAGGGGATTCTTAAATGAAATACTCTATATTGTTTGTTGATACATAATTTTAACTTTAAAAGTTGTGATGGGGAAAAAGGCTATTTTGCTAGTAAAGTATGTTATAAAACTGTTTGGAGGGAGGACTATGCAGAAATGAGAGTTTTTAAAGGAATATCAATGCTCTGGTTATTTTCAAACTTGGAGAAAACTGTATGAAAAATTATGAAAGAAGTATTCTTCACGGTATGCCGTTGCTACCCCCTTGTGGCTTCTCATGAAGTACTGCAGATGCTGTGGAAACTTCCCAGCCATGCTTCCTAAGCTGTTTTGACAGCGTTCACAGCCTACAAAACACAGTACTTCACTGAGATCAGTTGTACCTTAAATTATAAATTATAATGTAGTGAAAGGCTCTGATGTTATCTGAGTTACCTCAAAGTCATGTGTTCAAATTCCATTTTATTAAGGAACCATCGCTTTTTGCTGTTGCGAAATTACTGGAAACAGGACTAGTTAACATGCACAGGATTGAGATTCTTTGGAGACCTCTGACGGGTCATCTTCTGGAGGTAACTAACTGCTTTTATCAGTCGTACTAGAACTTAGTTTGTATTAATAAAGATCTTGTGGAAATGCATTTTTAAAGTGTAATTGAAAAAAAAGTCTAAATTGTATTTACATGTTTTGGTTTATGCACATTGTTTTTGCAACTTGAAGGCATCACAATTTGGATTTTAAAGTGAATTTATATATTTAAATTCCAATATTTTAATATCTTTTATTGACTTTGTCTTTCTGGTGCTGTGAGTCTTTATACATTTTAAATACGGCAATGTTTAAAATGATCAATTTATTATACTTCATATATGTGTTATAATTAAGGTAACACAAACAAGTTTCACTTTGGATTCACATAGTACAAATATCTAGGAAGATTTTAAGATATCTTTTTGTGTCCTTACAAGACAGATTGAAGCCATTAGATTTACTAACAAAGGGTTTGTTCGTTTTAAAAAATGTGTAAGCCAACTTTTTGAATAGTCTATTTAAGAGAATGCTGTGCAAATAGAAAAATAGGTGTCATGGTCCTATATCAATTTCTTAAGTATTGTAACTTCAACATGAAAAATATGCTTCAGCAAGGGAAAAAAAATCTTAAATTTTGAATTTGAAACTAAAAACAGGTGATGGAATGTAATTCTAAAGTTTTAATTCTCTACACAGATATGGAGAAGAGTGAAATGCAAGAACAGGGCTTGATTTAAGTGGGTAAAGGAGAAACTTTCTGGAAAATGAGGAAGAAAAGCTATCAGACACTTCCTTAGAACCAGTGCATTATTTCAAAGTGTTAAGGATTGGACATCTCTAACCTTATTTATGGAGATCATCTCCACATAATCTTTTATCTGGGAGAAGAAATTTGGATAGTTAGGGGTTTAAACACTTAAAGCACAGGCATCTCTTTCTCTTGTCTTTTTTTGCGCTCCCAGACAATAAGGTTCACCATCCACATCTTGAGACTCTGTTTTCATCTAGTAAGCAGTCTGTTTCAGCCTGTTATCCATTGTGGGTATTTGCCACTGCTTTGTAGGAATTACACAGTCTATTTCAATTTCTTTTCAAGTACTGCCTTATTTCCTTTTAAACCTAAGTCGTCGAGGTAGAATAAGGAAGGAGAAAACACCATCTGCAAATTCAATTAAACACAACCTGAGGGAAGAATTCATTCCCTGTCTCTGGAACTGATTATCTGGTCAGATTCAGAGCATCGTGAAGTAATTCAAATTCTCTCTTCTTTTATATAAGATAACGAAAATATAAGTAATACAGGAGAGTAGCTATTTCTTGTCTGCATTTTTTAACATGAAGCTAGCTCTACTGCATTGTCCTCCTTTTCAGTTTGGCTAGTGGCTAAGGGAATGGTCCACCAACCAAAAGTATCAGCCGTTCTTATGATCCTGCCTTGGAATTTGATTCTGGTTTCTCACACCGCCTGATCTAGGGCTGGAAGGGTGGGTGGAAATAATTATGTAGAGGTCAATGAGACTGTAGACTTACCTTATTTGTTTGACGGTAATGTATCAGGTATGGGAGTACAGTTCATACTAGGTATCTATGCAATGGATGTGCACAATGTTTTTAATTTTTCTGTCCTGAAAAAAGTAATTGGCAAAACTATTAGGTTTAGTTAATTAGGAATACAAAGAGAAATGAAGACATGCATTTGAAACCTAAGCTTGAAATAGTGTATGCGATTGTTTTGTCAAGTTTTTGAAATAGTGGAGTGTAAGGCTTATTTTACATTCACTATGTAGTTACTTTCTGTATTTGAGAATGTAGAAGAGCAGACACTTTCTGTGTTGGACACTGTCATGCTTCCTCACTTGATTATGTTAAGCAGTGCATGAAAGGTGAAACTTTGAATTTTATAGTAGCTTAAGGCTGAGTTAAACGTGAGAGTTTCAGGCATTCATTGAAGAGTTGTTTGGTGCTTTTTAATCAATCATTATCTGAATTAGTAGTTAGTATATTCATTTTGGAAAATGTATTGGCTTGAACTGCTGTGGTTTTCATTGTGTTTCCTTCTGTGTCTTTCACTGCTTCCTATTGCTTCCTTATCCAGAAGGTATGTCTGTCCGAAAGATAAGAATTTTTTACTATTAAACCTAATTTTATCATCTAGAGATTTATTGTATCGTTGTAAAAAATTTATAATATTGCATGTTAATTCTAACGTAATGAAAATATCCATTTTTTATATTTTGCATATATTCAAGTCTTGGTTAAATAAAAGTGACTTTAAACAAAATGTTGCTGTGCTTTCAGGTCTGTCAGCATCCAAACTCCAGAATGAGAGAATGGGGAGCAGAAGCTTTAACTTCTCTCATTAAAGCAGGACTGACATTCAGCCATGATCCTCCATTATCTCAAAATCAGGTAAAGTAAGTTTAAGAGCAGCTGCTGTCCTCCTTTTCTGGAACTTAAAATGAACATGAAATCAATATCTTCCCTAGAGGAGGTTTTCTACAGTTCAATGAATAGGAAGCATTCATAAAGCAACTTTACTGTTGAGTTTATAAAGGCTACAGCTGTAACATTCAGATGTAACTATTGAGAATCACCTCATGCATTCTAATGAACTACCCTCCTTCCTTTTTCAAATGCGTAACAAAGATGCTTGCGTATTATGTCTGTTGGAACAAATTATGGGTCACCCTCATGAGTGCAAAACAATTCCAGAATGTTTAGAAGTATATATGTGATGTGGTGGCAGGTAAAAAATAAATTGCCTAACCTTCTAAGTCACAGCTGTTCAGTCCATTATTAATAAAACATTCAAATATATTTACTGAGGTTCAATGGATAGTTTTTTCAAGGTCTCTTTAGTCGGAAGCTTGAGTCTAGCCCTGCTGGGTGAGCGTAAAGTTGCACAATGGTTTTTATGCAACTGTGACAGCACACTGTAGCTCCTTCCTGAGGGACCTGGAGAATGGTGGGGGTAGGGAGGGAAGGGGAGAGGGAAGAAAAAAATGTAGATTTCCTGCTGAGATCCTTTATAAACAGTTTTTTGGAAAAGCCAGTCTGACACTGAATTTGAGCATTTAATGGATGAGTTACTGAATTAATTTAGTGAATCTTCAATTGGTACTGTATGTTTTCACTTAGCATACATAAAAACAATTAAGGATCAGTTAAGTTTTAGCATCTTTAATATGCTTTATTGTTTACTTTTAGAGACTGCAGTTGCTTTTATTGAATCCACTAAAAGAACTGTCAAACATTAGTCATCCTGATATCAGGATCAAGCAGTTGGAGTGTGTACTCCAGATTTTGCAAAGTCAGGGTGACAGCTTAGGACCTGGTTGGCCGTTGGTGCTTGGAGTCATGGGTGCAATCCGAAGTGATCAGGGGTAAGTGGTAGAAATAAAATTTTAAAATCATGTAAAGTAAGAACAGTAGAAAGAATTCTGCTTTTATTTTCTTACATTAATAACCTTAAAAACCACTTTGATAATAGCCTTAATTTTCATAGTCATTTTTAGCTTATGAACAATTTTACTCAACAAAAATACAGTTTTTAATTTTTCCTGTAGCACACTTTTATTTTACTGAATTAATATTTCAGAAGACCACGATATTGTTCCACTCTACCCTCTCCTGTGGTCAGCATGCAGTATATACTGGGGAGTACTCTTTATGCCAATTCATTTGATCTTAACCATCTGCTGTACACATCTTTGGTGCTTGCAGATAATTCCATATGACTTAGCTGTTGCTCACAGTTCCTCTGTTGTTTCTTTTTCTTCTTAAATCTTTGGGTATTCTCTAGTGTGTGTCATCTTCTGAACGCTCTCTTTTTCTTGAAGCCTTCCTCCCTAAACAGCTGCTGGTAGCACAAGGATGGAAGATTATTTACTTGCTGTGTGTCAGTCCCTTGACTGACTAACACAGCTGACTCTGTTGCCAACAGAGGGGGAATGTGACTGGACTGGTCCTCTTGCCCACAAGGGAAAGTGAGAGGTGAAGTTGCAAGGAGCTCTTTTGAAATGAGCAGTGAAATGAGCATCTGGCCCTGGAACTGTAAGCACCAAGGACTATACCCACACACTTAGACCATATTATTCCTTCTTTTGTGCTAGCCAAGACTCACACTAGGATAGGTCAGCAAATAACTCTGGTATCAGAAGAATTCACCTTTGTGTATCTCTCCTTTCACCCCACCTTAGCTTCTGTGTTCTGGCTGTATGAAGACCACCTAAAGACCCTTCAAATGCTTGAAGGATTTTGCTCATGTACCAGTATTGCTTGCTGTGGCAGTAGTACTCACCAAAATTCTCAGGGATGTTGGCATTCTTGGTTGTGAGCATCCTCTTTTTGGTAATCATGCTTCCTTTGGTACCTGCTGTTTCCACACTTGGTGCCGTGTGTTCTGTGGTTCCTACATGCCTTTTGCTTTTCACTGTAGTTGCTGATGGATGAGAACCAACACAGATTCCTCCTCAAGACAGCCTTCAGCTCCTTTTACATCTCAAACCCGTACCTCACTGGTGGATATCTCAAAACGTTACTAAGATCTCATGTTATATCTTAGTCTCCTCCTACAAAGCATATAGAATAATCCACTTTTCTTCAACTACATAGCACTGTTTGCCTGCATCATATCAACTACATTAGGAAAAAAAAATGAAGCAAACCTCCTTTTCCTTGGGAAACAAGTGAATTTCTTGCCTCACTTACAGCTGTGAGCACAAGATGTGGGCACTATTGTCATACTTTAAATACAAACTTATTGACCGTGAGACTTTCTTCACAAGTCTCTTCCCTCTGGTCAGTGAACATCCTGGATTCCAGGGCAGAAATCCATTTACGTTCCAGGAGAACTAATTGCCAAGCTGCTATAAATACAGAAGATGCTATTTTGAGAGCCAGTGATAGATACTTCGGTCACTTCTTGATTGTACGGTACTGGCCTTCTAAACAATAGGAAGTCTGTCTTTGAAGAATTTTTCAACGGGATGCCCCTGTTTATTTTAACGATAGATGAAGTCCTATATGATCTTAAGTTTTCGAACTAAGCTTAAGTTTCTTGCATTTATATTTACAGTTTTGGTGGCCACCTGTAACGTTAAGGACAGTTTTATATTTTGAAGAGCTGTATTGCTGTTGCCACTTGCATGAAGGACTTTGAAAGCTTTCTCCCAACACATAGTAGTGTGGGACATTAATTGGGAAAAGAACTGTTTTGAATTTGTTCTAGTGGCCTTCCATTTGAAGATTAGAAAGAGAGGCTACTGTCCCATTAACTTGCCTCTTCAAAATGAGTAGTGTTAACTATACTTTGATTTCCTGCCTCCTTCTCTTCTCTCTTAGAGTCCTTGGAGGTCACAGACTTTTGGAACTTTGTAGTGGAGAGGGAACTGCAGCAGTTTTGGGTGTGTTTCACTTTATATCGTGTAATGATTATGGGGAAAGTAGTGTGTGAGCATTTCCTCCATGAGTATAGCCGTGATAAGTCCTTTGATCTTATGTGGTAGGATGAATGTCTCTCTGCAGTATGCATCATATTAGAGAATCAGTTACACCATTATTGTCCATGTAAAGTTTCTTGTGCATTCCTCTGGCTTCTATGTCATGTTCGCTGTTATGATACAGTGAAAACGGCCCACCTATGATTTTCATTTTGAATTAATTAAAAAAATTATTATTTTATTAAGGATTCTGAAATATGTAACTGACATCTGTATTCTGAATTTTTTTCTGGGATATATATTCTGAAGGTCACTAAGTTTCTATATTACAAACCTTTGGAATTTTTTTCTTTTGTACATTAAACATTAAGCATTTAAGAAAACCCAACTCTAGTGAAATTTAAATGCAGCTTCCCTATTTTGTATTATCTATACTCCACCACTCCTTTTGATTCCTTCATTTTGTCTCTCACTAAGGTTTTTAGTTATAGATGACCTTGCTGCTTCTGAAAGCTCCTTCTCACAAAGCTTTTCCATGCTACATTTTTATTTTATGTTTGTATTCAGAATTTAATTCTGAAGGCAAATTATTTATTAAAGATCATTTAATGCCAGATATTTTGAAAAGATTTTGTCCAACATAATGCAGCATTGAAGACTACCATTATGTTAGCATGCATTTTCCCCAATAAAAAAAAATACATTTTGCCCACCTGTTTGGCATACTTCAAGTAATTTGTAACTGCTGATACAAGAAATTGTTCAGAACACCTTACTCTTCAGAAGATTATCATGCTCAAACTTCAGCTTTGTTTTGTCTATTGTGGCTTTTTTTAGAATGTTTTAGCTAACACATTTGAACTAACAAGTCTTAGAACTCTAGAACAGAGAAGTGGATTTTACTATATAAAACTAGCTAAGGACCACTGGAGAGTCTAAACTTCAGTTTCACTAGCTAGTTAACATGGACTAAAATACTTCATCAGAATTTGAAGCTTCAACTTAATGTTATATCTCAAAAAACCCTCTAGTTGAAACATTTAAAATGTTGCAAAGTCATCTCAAAAACATTAAATATTTTCTTTTTTTTAATAATGCTATCTCCCGAGATATTGTATTCAAAACATTCTTGTGCTCGTGAAGAAATTTGAAATGAGTGTGTGTGTGTGTGTGTTTTGTTCTTGTTTTGTTTTTTTAAGAGAGTCCTTAATACGGACTGCATTCCAGTGTCTTCAGTTGGTTGTGACAGACTTTCTTCCAACAATGCCATGTACTTGTCTACAGATAGTTGTTGAAGTTGCAGGAAGCTTTGGACTTCACAATCAAGAGCTAAATATTAGCTTAACTTCAATTGGTTTGTTGGTGAGTTTTATATTAATCTACAGTGATACTGCTTCTGGCTTTTTTTTTTTTTTTTTTAATGAAAAATTATCTGTTGCCAATCCTACACATGAAAGCCAAAACATATTTTTTGTGTTCTTATTGAACCCCCATGCTGTCATTTGGAATCATATGTAAATTGAGTGAGCACAATTTATCTTTAATCTGCATGACTCCAGGGTTAGGTGAAGAAATAGCTGTGTTGTAACCATGTTCATCAGTATCTTATTTTTAGTATATTGTTTCCCTTTCTAGTATTTCATGTATAACTGGGCCTAAAAGCTGAGGCTAAGAAAAATACTTTCTGCACCTTGCAGTATTTATGTGCTCATCTTCTTCTATCAGCGTAGGGAAATTAATATCTTGATGTACTTCACAAAATACTTTTAAATGTGAAAACGAGAAACAATTTATTTCATGATCATTAAGAACATTATAATATTTTTACTGTACAACAGCATATGTCTTATTTATTTTGTAGTGGAATATTTCGGATTATTTTTTCCAAAGAGGTGAAATAATTGAAAAGGAGCTAAACAAAGAAGAAGCTGTGTTGCAGAAACAGGCAGAAGAAAAGGGGGTGATGCTGAATAGACCTTTTCACCCTGCACCACCATTTGACTGTCTTTGGTTATGCCTATATGCCAAACTTGGAGAACTGTGTGTAGATCCCCGACCTGCAGTTAGAAAGAGTGCTGGGCAGACATTGTTTTCTACTATTGGTGCTCATGGAACTTTATTGCAACATTCAACATGGCACACAGTAATATGGAAGGTATGATGTATAAGCTTCCACTGAAGGTTTTTTAAATTGCATTCACATTTTGGTAACAATTGACATGCTATTTTAATATCAGTTAGCTAGTTTATTAAGACTTCTTAAAGGCAAAATATGGTGGCAGAAGTCTGATACCATCTTTTTTTTTTTTTCCCAGTTTCTTTTCTCTGGCCCTTAAACCCTCTTATGAAATGTAATTTTTGTATCTTTCTTTCTCAGGAGTTGTATAAAAAGGCTGCTCCTTTCCTATGAAGATGAATGACTCCTTTGTTTGTGTGAAAATATGGTGACGTTTGAGGGTCGTGTGATTGGATTCATCTGATGTTAGATCAAGCTTTACTTTGGACTCTGTTTTGGCTCTCTTATTTGAGAGGATCCACCAAATGCCCTCTTCTAGGTCACAGTCATGTTGGTTGTGCCTTACGGAAAAAGTCAGGCTATTGTTGAGTCTGTTGCCTGTTGTACAGTCTTCTGTTAGTGCTAACACTGTTCTCAGTGGTTTTGATCATGCTGTTTCTAACCTTTCTCGAGTGAACATCAGTTGGCTGATTCTTGCTCTTAGCTGTTGCAGAGACTGTTTAGAATAAGGGAATTCACAAGGTGACACAGTGACAGAAAGGATAATGGAAGAATTACTTTTTGTTGTTTTACTATGAATACAACTGTGTTGTTTGAAAAGTTGGTTTTTTTCTTCTTTTTCTGACTACTGCAGGTTTTATTTCACCTGTTGGATAGGGTTCGAGAATCTTCTACCACAGCTGACAAAGAGAAGATTGAATCAGGAGGAGGCAACATTCTCATCCATCATTCAAGGGATACAGCTGAGAAACAGTGGGCTGAGACATGGGTATTAACACTGGCTGGAGTTGCAAGAATATTTAACACCAGGAGATACTTACTGCAGCCTTTAGGTAAAATTTATAGTTTAAAGTAATTGAAAGATACAGTAATAAACTTTCTGCTTTTGTAAATTTTTTCAGTTAAAGTACAGGGGAAGAATTTTAATCTTAGCTTAAAAGTGTGTTCTGTTGCATCTCATCTCAAATGTGATGAAAATTATGTTTTTAATTCATGCTCCTTAGAGCCAAAAATTCTAAGTACCAATTTCATCTTATGTATCACAGTACTTGAGATTAAATCTCGCTAGTCACAATTCTGGGTACCAAATAGCTTTAATTTATAGTAGCCTGATAACAATAATAGTTTTTCTGTTTTTTTGGTTGTCAGAACATATTTTTCCTCTTGTCTTTCTAAGGTTATGCAACACTTGCCTACAACTCTTCTGTGGCATCAGTGTGTCAAGTTTAGCAGTGCTCTTACAATGTAAAGGGGACTTGCTTGTAAAGTCAGTGAAGTATATAGCTTAGAAAACAAGAAAGGGAATTTTTTAATGAAAAGATTGGACTTGTTATGATGTAAAAGATGTTGCGATTACCCACTATTTCAAGTGATTCTTTTTCTCCCCTCATGATACTCTTCCACTGTTTATCTTATACAGAGATGACAGTTTGAGTTACTTTACTGTTGTCCCTAATGCAGCTAACTGAAGTGAGCTCCCCTTTTCTTCTTCTTCCTTAAAATCCTACCTTTCCCATTTTGAAGTTTTTTATTTTTCTTCCTTAACTCTTTGGTATCTTTATGTCTTTCTCTTCCTTTTTCTTAGGCTCTGATTTTTCCCTATTTCTTTTTTGCTTTCTCCTTATAGAAATTAAACATTAGGTCATTTACTAAACTATTGTAAAATATAAAATATTACTACATACAATTGTAAATGTGTTGAACTAGATAATATAATTCAGCATTCATGCCTGTTTTGTACAGAAAAAATGTTTTGTTTCAGTTTAGGCTTCTAAACAGATATTCTGATCTCATTTCAAAACAGCTTTCATTTCTGGTTTGTTTAACTAGAATTACTTAAATAAATTACTTTCAAAAATAAAAATGTGATACAAAGAATGTATAGCTTGCAAAGAAAATTCCCCATTACATCTTCACCATCCCATAATATGCAATTAATATATATAACCAGAAATAAGTTGTGTTTTATTTCATTTTGGTTATTTGTGATACAGATATCAACACATTAATAGCTATCGAGTATTAGTCATTTGCAGAAATGTAGTAGATTTTAAACTATATTAAACTTGAGGTAAAGCTAAATAAAAAATTAAAACACTACAGGGCTCTTTTAATTATTCAAACCCAGTAATTACTAACATAGAAAATTGAAGGTTAATGCTAAATTTAATGAAAAACTCAAAAAATTAAATCTTCCTCCACAGTACAATTATCAGAGCATTTTAAAATCAATTCTTTATGAATGCATATGTAGAATATATATATATATATACGTGACCTGTAATTCTTTGTGTGTACTTAACATTTTCTGAAATCAACAGGCATCTGGTATGTATAAGAACAAATCTGTTTCAATATCCTGAATAAAGAAAATGTATTTTCCTGGTATGGGATGTGGTATGTGATTTTTCACTAGCAAAATCGACATAAACATTGGTATATTGTTTCATTCTTCATATTTGTGTGTTTCCCTGTCACATTCTTTCTTTCTGGTTACGGTTAAACTGATACATTCTGAAAGTCATTCAAGCCATCACCTAACCTCATGAAATTTCTCTGTATTAGAGTAACAAGTACTTGAACAGCCTTTTAGAGACAGGGGCGGCGGGAAGGGGAATAGGAAGCCAGTTCCAAGTTGATTTTTTTTTTTCCCCCCCCCCCTCTCTTTTTTTAAATAGGAGACTTTTCCCAAGCCTGGGATGTTCTTCTTGATCACATCCAATCAGCAGCACTCAGCAAAAATAATGAAGTTTCCTTGGCTGCTCTGAAAAGCTTCCAGGAGATCTTACAAATTGTTTCTCCTGTCCGAGACTCAGAGAAACCTGACACACCACCTGCTATCAATGTTTCTGTACCTGTGGTGGTAGGGACAACAACTGCCACTAGTCTTGGGAGATCATTCATGAGAACTGACTCCATAGGAGAAAGAATAGGAAGATACAATGGATCTGAACCACCTGTAATAACAGATGAGATTGAAGATTTGAATCTTTGGTGGGCAGCCTGGAACAGCTGGTATAGGATTGGTTCAGAAAGTACAAGGCCTCCAATTACTTGTGATAAATTGACTTTCATTCCCAGCCAGCCTTTTCTTACAGCTTTAATTCAAATATTCCCGGCTCTTTACCAACACATCAAAACTGGTTTCAGCATGGATGATCTCCAGAAGCTGGGTGTCATTTTGCACGGTGCTGTTTCAGTTCCAATCAGTTCTGATGCTTCTCCTTTCATCCTTCCATCTTACACTGAAGCAGTTTTGACAAGTTTACAGGAAGCGGTGCTTACAGCTTTAGATGTTTTACAAAAGGTAATAATGTGACTTCAAATGCATGGTGAAAGGTAAACTACACTCTGTCTCAATTCTTCTTCTCAGAACTATAGTGTGGTGACTGAAATATGAATTTTTAAATTACTTATAATTGCACACTGTACTGTATTAGAACAATCAGATCTCCACTCCTGGTGCAACCCAGGTGCTCTGCATTGAAATGAATGGTGTAATCTTTATGAAATGCACTTTTGCTTGATTGCAGAAATACCTTAAGTGTGGTGCTGTGTTTGTAGCCATTTACTTGTCTATCTAATATTACAATATTGTACTATTGTGAGGGTCTGTACACAGAGTTGGAGGCATAGTCCCCGAAACAGTATTCCTTGTGTTGCCCAGGTGCTGCCATAAACAACATCTAGAAGAATAGTGATCATGAGAACTTTGAGTTCATGCAAAACATAGAATATAAAAAAATCTCTGGCAGACCACCTACCTTCTTGCCTCTTGTTAATCAGTTGTTTAAGGAAAATGCTGCATCTCTGCTTAAGAACTTCTTACCATAGAACTCATCTTCAAAGAGCACCCTTCCTGCAAGTGAATCTGTAAACAACAAACTAGGGTGCCCTTTTTCTGGATAGTTAAGAAAAAAGGTATTGCTTCTTTCTTTCTGGAGTTTTAAGACATCTCCTTGCAAAATACATTGTTCATTCAGAAAAACTTATTTATTCGAAAGAAACAAAGTTGATAATGACTGAGATCATACATTTACGTTAAGCACTGTTTTAATAAAAACAAGCCCCCAAGCCCCACAAAAAACCTACTTGGGCAATGCCAGAAGCAAAACTATCCGTGTGACCTGACTTAATTCCCTTTGGGCTTTCATATTATGACTACTTTGCTTAACTATGTGGTCATACCATTTGGTTTATTTTTTTGTTTTTTTTTTCCTTCCCCCTCTCAGGCAGGATCCTGCCTCATTTAGCTTATAGAACACATGATGCCTTCTTAATGAGCAGCAATTCAGCACCTTGTTTTCTTTTTGCTTAGTGTGAGTTGACTTATCTCATACTTACTTAAACCCCACAAGCAAGGCAGAATCATCTTGCAGTCATTCCTTTAGTCTGAGTTTAACAAATATTCATGAATGTGTTTTGAGAACAGAAGTATAAGATTAGAAGTTGGTATTAAATCTCAGTTTTGTATGTGGGGATATAAATAACATGAAGTTTTAACACCAGTCATATCCACTAAATTTTCATCCTTTTCCAGTCAGGCTTGACCCTTTTGTACCTTTTTCTTTTCAGCAGCTCAGCCCTGCCCAATTCCTGTTTTCCCCACTTAATCACTCCATATATTCATCTCAGATTTTTCTTTGCCAGTCTCCTTATCCACATGTTCTTAGTTCCCAAAGGCTGCAGGCATTAATGCTTTTCAAAGAAGGGGTTACCAGAGTTTTTAACATGAGGGAAAAACTGCACATTTTTTTATGCTCTTGTTCTTGTCAAGATGTTAAACTCTTTTAGATGAAGTTTTGTTAAACAAAAAAGCAATAATTCCGTTTTCTCACAGGGAGACGTCCCCCCTTGTCCTCTCCCAATCGAAATGGTTAGCATGACAGTTACAAGCCTTTGCAAATACAGACTTCAATAGGAAGTCTTAGGTACCTCAATTTATACAGTACCTCCCACCCCGTTTATAGTTATATTACTAACAGAACAGCACTGAAGTCACTAAAAAAATAAGTTAACTGTATGTCCAAATACACTTTATGTGAGTCATTTGGACGTAAGTTCTGTGAAGTCACTGGATCATTCCTCTTGGCTATGTAACACAGTACAAATCATGTAAGACAGCTAGCCAGCCAGTGGTGCTGTGGAGCAAAGGCCATCCGTCAGATGGTTTTGCTGGAGGCCACAGTATCTTCTTCCTGTGTTGAAATGAATTAATAGTCTCAGGAGTACACACAGAAGCTAGTGGAACGGTTAAAGAGTATGTAAATACTTGCCACCTTCTTTTAAACAAAATGTTTCTTACATGTTTGCGTTGCGGGATCAGATTAAGTTTTGTTCTTTGCTGATACAGGAAGATTTGGGTCAGTTCTCATTTTCTAAGAAGTTCTGGAACAACCCTGTAATTGGAGTAGCATGAAAAAACCCAGACATTTTTAAGACTGAGCCCCTGACTGGTTTAACAAAGAGATTTTATGATGTGATTGCACTAGCAAAGGACATTGCAACTCAAGAACATGGGACTGGAATGGAACCTTGGTTCTCCTTTCAGACTTGGCTGTGTTGAGCCCATTTTACACCCTTTGTTTTGTTCTTAGTTTTCTTTTTATTGGTTATTAGAACTTGTTTTCTAGTCTTTCACTGCTGTAGTATAAGTGCTTGCTTCATCACTGTAGTTCAGCTAAAGTTTGTACTCAAGCCCAAATTCTCTGATTATTTTCACTGCCTCCCTACATTGAGTCTGGGTCAACTCTGCAGTGAGCCGGCTGGCTTATCAGGCAGAGGAACACAGATACATACTTGGGGATCAGATATATTTGAATTGTGCCTCTGCAGGCAGTATGGATGCAAACCTTTTAAGCTATGAGTATGGTAAACTCAATGCTATATTTATAGACGCTGGCAAGATGGTAGAGAATTAGCTACAGAGAGCTGTAAAAAAAACCAAAACAGTAGTCCATGACAATAGTTGCACTGGGAGTTGTTAGATAAATCTGAACTATTAAAAAATGTGAAGGGTTAGTACCAGAATGCTTTAAAGCATAAATTTCTGAAACTAAAGTACTGTGTCAATTTTTACAACAATGATCTGCAGAGTATTTTATTTTAGGGTTGGTTTGTGTTTTGTTGTTGCCTGACCATTGCTTTTTGATTTATACGTGTGTCTCTACTTAAGTATGTAAATAAGTGCACTGAGTGCAGTAAACAGTACTCTGCTTTATAAGCAGCTCTTAAAGATACTTTCAACGTCCTTCATCACGCACTTCACTAGGCTATTTTTGAGTTTTTCATATGCTTAAATAAAAGTTACTTGGTGTCAGTCAGAAGCATAAGCCTCTTTGAAAAGCAGTTCTAGTTAGATGAATTTTCAAGACTAAGTGACCTAATCTTCCCTTTTTTTTTTTTAATATTATATGGATAACTTTTAGAGTTGAAAATACCCCAGTAGACTGGTTAGAAAATGCTTCTATTTGTAAAACAAAATTTTTTCATAAAATATGAAGAATAAGAAGCTACTCGTGCACAAACTTCAAATAGGAAGTAGTTATTTTGTTCACCAGTACAGAAAAAGTAGCATCTGAAATTATTTTCCACTGATACTGAAATCAATAATAATAATAATAATAACAACAACAACAACTAACAATGTAGAGTGAATGGGAAATGTATTTTGAAGTTTTGCTTTTACAGATGTTAAGATAGTCTTCTGTGGGTAATGTAAGTTGCATCAGTGCAAGTAAGTTGCATCTATACAGAAGTTATCCGGGGGTTTGTGGATGCTCTCTTTCCCTTTCTAACCCATGTGTTGGTACATAAAATCATTTTTTATACCTTTTCTAATAGGTTTGTAATCTTGCATTAACTGATTAAAATTTAATGCAGTGACTTTAATGCAGCAGTATATCAGCTGAAATTGTTATACATGGTGTTGAATACTTTTAGATCAGCAATTAACCTTTTAGTCTTCTGCCACACAGGTGAGTATCTAGCATCAAAGCATCTTCTTCAGAGTTTGGTACAGTCTTGAACTTGAGCACCAGAAAAGGAGTATGGCTTTTTAGAAGGAGTGTTGCACTATATTCATAATGTTGATTCAGCTTTTTGAGCTTTAGACATGCATTTTGAATTGCAGGAAGCTGAGGAAAAGGGAAAGGCCACTGATGATTTATGGAGTGCTCTCCTGCAGGTTGTAGATTGCCTGAAGGTGCAGCTAGGTCTTGGGGTGATCTAGTGATGACAGTGCCTGTAGCCCCTGTTCTCTTGCTCCCTCTCGTGGCTGGGGACTCGGGATATTTGCTAGCCCATCGACTGCCACAGCTCATGACACAGCCCCAGCATGGAGGCCGTGCTCGAACAGCTTCAGAGCTGTTGGCACCTTGAGTGAGTTCAGCCACAACTTGTCGTGGATGATCTGTGGTTAATGAAAAGGGGGTTTGATTCCTCCCCAGAGAAAAATGATAGTACAAGCATAAGGGTCTTTTTGTGGAGCAACAAATAGACTGTTTATTGAAGCTTTGAGAGGAGAGACTTTGGGAGAAAGAGCAAGACATCTAAAATGACGGAAAATAATTGGAGTAACTTCATAGAATCATTGTATCTGGCTTTGAAAGTAAATCCCCTAAGATTGTCTTGGGATTTATATTGCAACAGGAAATCATTAGCCTATGCCAACATGATACTTCATTGACATCTTCGAAGTACACCCTTCCTGAAATGTTTTACATTTTAAAGCAAGATTATGAGTTTCAGCTATACCAAAATCATATCATTCTCATTTTATGTTCCTTTCTGTAAGACACAATTTTAACTACTTACAAAAACCTTGTATGAATTACTTCTGAGATCTAAGTGTTCCTTGAAGTAGAACTTAAAGAAGACGTGGGTGAGATCAACAGACGAGACTTACTTCATAAGACTTACATTTTGCTGTCATGTCAAAGCACAGTTTGTAAAGAAAAGATATCTTTTATTGGACAAAATGAGATAGCTGGATTTACTAAACTATATATACCCAGGTATCTTGCCACTTATTTTACTTTAATAAAATAACAAAACTTACTTTTCTTAAAGTGTTAGAACTATACACTGTGTTTTATACAGCATGACTCTTGCATAGTCTTATATGGGAATTTTTCTTTAGGAGCTCCTTGCACTGATGCAGATTTTTGAATATGAAAGCTCAAGATACGTATTAAGCTTTTTAATTTTCTTTTGGTATAGGCTATATGTGTGGGCTCAGAAAGTATGCAGATAATGTATCCTGCAATCTTCGACCAGCTGTTGGCCTTTGTAGAGTTCTCCTGCAAGCCTCCGCAGTATGGACAGCTAGAAACAAAGCATATTGCAAATGCAAAGTATAATCAGGTAATCAATTAGAAAACTTGCTTGTTTCACTTGGCTGGTGAACCCAATTCAGCTTCAGATATAGGTGTTTTAGCAAGATGCATTTATTCCATCTGTAAAAACTTTGCTGTGCATGTTGTATAATAAGTTAATTTATTAGGGTTTTTTTTACATGCTTTTGTTATCTTCATTTGCTCCCTTTGCATTCTACTTTGCTTTTATACTTTGTGTGTTCCTCCATGTAGGAAAGGTCTTGCCTGGACACCAGACATAGTGAATGTGTCTGAATTTGTCCAGTGAATTAGTCTAAAATAACATGTCCCACATGTGGTATCAAATTTAATAGAAGACACAATAATTTTGAATGGAGAAAATTCCCTCAAGCTGCAAATTTTTGAATTGCACATGCTGTAGAGAAATGGGACATGTTCAATAACTCTTTTTATCTGTGTACTCTGCTGTTCATTAAGCATGAGCATCTGATTCAGTGTAATCAAAGAGGTAACTATTATGTATGTATTAATTTTTCTTATTCTATTTGTCCTGCAACACAATGGAATCACACTAGATACAACTATTTGCACCGGTGAGTTAAATTTCCTTAAAGATTGTCCTAATGTAGTTGTCTTGCCTAGACTGCAACATTTCTCCTACTTAAATGTACTTTACTTCAACGTAGAGTACATTTTCATAGTCAGACTACATTGTATTTGCAGTTTTGTTGCTTGGACCATATTCTTAGCAAACCTTGCATGCATTAAACTGAGAGTTCAATGCAAAACATACATTTTCTGTTCCTTAATTATTATGTTTTCACATATTAATAGTTCAGTAAGTTACTAATTTCTTTTCCTAGGCGGAATGGGTAGCACTGAATTACGTACCATTTGCTGAGAGATCATTGGAAGTCGTTGTGGACTTATACCAAAAAACAGCTTGCCATAAAGCTGTGGTAACGGAGAAAGTTCTTCAGAACATTATTAAGGTAAAAGTTTGTCCTACATATGCTCTCCATTTAATGAGCTTATATTGAAAATCATGAGTTCTATTTTGAGCTAGTGTTGATAAACACTTTCTGGGAAGCTTAAAGTTTTAGTAAACAAGTTGATATTTTATGAAGATGAGCAGCAGGTAGTAATTTCTTTTGAAGCTGCAAGGCTATTGATTAGGCTACGTGTATTGTTCTTTGGCTGGATAATGCCAGCATCAGTATTTCAATGTTAAGATAAAAATCAACAAATGTGTTGGGCCACAAAATATTAATCTTTGAAAGTATTATGCATCTGAATCTGATAAGCAGGCCTCTTAGTAAATATGGCATTGGAGGCCAAAGACCAATTTCTGTAGACTGGCATACATACTTTGGGGATGTGTGCTCTAGCTATTACTTTTGGTTTGCTTTTAATGACTTTGTGTGTCATTGATGTAGCTATGAAATGTTACAGGTACACAAATGTGCCTTTAATGTGAAATTGCCAAACTCCCAACTTTTTTTGACCTTGTTTCCATTTTAGCAAATAAGTTTGGTAAATAATAGAAGTAGTGGTAAATGTCTGGAAAAAAAAAAGTATGTGACCTAGGTTTGTTTGTAATGACTTGGCTGACATCAGGTTGTTCCTGTACAGAAATTTAGAAACCTGAATGTGTTTAAAATAGTTATGTGGTATTATTTGGAATCTGTTATGAATTAAATATTTTTATTTCAAAGTTAATGCAGTTATTTTCCACTTCTGTTTTAATGGGATAGGTGAAACTGATATGAACACTTTTCTTTAACGTTCACAGTTGATAATGATGTGATCTATTGCAGCAGATGAAAATGTTTTAAAAATTATTTTTCATGTCCCTAAAGCCCATGTTGATACTGGAATTAGATTTGACCCCTATGAACAATAGCAGCAGAAGAAAATACTCTGTTTACCTCTAGGGTTAGATCCTAGCTCTCATAATTTTTGGCAATAGGGAGTTAATTACAACTGACTCATGCTTGAGAGCAAGAGTGAGTCTTTCCTCTTTTCACCCTTTGCTTTTCTCAAGTCAGAAACTTCACTAAAAGCATTGGGGGCCTATGCAACATACCCAAGTTTAGTCACTATGTATTTGAAATGTAAATTAAGTAGTTAGTTTTCCAAGATAGCTTGGTATCAGGTTCTAGTTAATTTGACTAACAATGCTGATAGGAATACATCTAATGTAAATAGTACATATGCTTAATGTTTTAAAACTCATAAATCACTTCCTTTTATGGATACTGAAGCTGTCTTTCTATCTAAAAGACTTAGTTTGCTGTGTTTTCATCTGCTATACATTTGAGTTGTATTGCAGCCTTTTTCTTAGAATTTCACTAACTCTTTTTGCTTTTAATCTTCATGTGGTTTAACAGTCAGCAGTGACCAGGTGTCTTGCAGTGGTTATGTATACAGTTCAACTTTTGCATATTAGGAAAAGTTTAAATTTATGAGGCTTTTTTTTTTTACTGTGGAAGCACTTGGGATAGCTTTCTAGGAACAGGACTAAACTCTTCAGAATACACTGATCATAATGAACTGCCTGCAATCTGTTAGATGTTAGGAAAGCCCATTTGTCAGGCTTAGCAGAAGTGGTGGATGGCAATAGAGGAAAAGAAAATTAATATGTAATTTCATAGTGTAGTTGGTAACGGATCAACTCTGACTTCTAACCTTGTACTTGGCAACCGACCTGTGCTTTAGCCAGCTGGTATATGGTAAATCATCTTTATAATTATTTTTTTAAAAGAACATCTCATATACCAGCAGGGATGTGTACTATCATCTCTGACAGTGTCTGCCAAGATCTTTTGCAGAAACCTGTGGTATTCTTAGATTTGTCTGAGCAACTATAAATTTTGTTTTAACTTTCATTTTGCAGACACTAAGAATACCTCTTAGTCTGAAATATTCTTGTCCTTCTGAAAGCACATGGAAGCTAGCTGTTTCCTCTCTTCTCAAAGTTCTTTCTATTGGACTACCTGTTGCAAGGCAGCATGCATCTTCTGGAAAATTTGACAGTATGTGGCCAGAGCTAGCGAATACTTTTGAAGACTTTTTATTCACCAAAAGGTAAACACAATTTCCCTTTTTTTTTTTTTTTTTTTTTAATTTTTTTTTTTAATACTGAAAAATATTTGTAAGTAAATTGTTCAGTAAATATGTCAGTAGAGTTCAGTAAAAATAGTTTTATCTTTAGAGATATTTGATATCTGAAAATTATTTTAATGAATGAAGGAAAAGAAGGTAACCAGACTGTCTACTTCAAAAAAGTATACTTTTTAGAAAGTAGTAGAAAAAACTTCATTCAAAATGTGAATGTCAGAGCAAGAAGGAGCTCAATGGACCTCTGAATACAAGGCATAACCTTTCTGATTAGGCCAAGGAATTTGTATGGACTCCCAAGGACGTTTACTGTAGATTTTATAAAGAGTTACTGATGTGTGCTCAATTTGTTCCTTTTTTCACTTTGAACAGAATTGCAACAATAACTTTTTTTAGTTAAGGTGAACACCATTAACTATACGTATTTCTCTTGAGTTCCATCTTGAAATATTCCACTTACAATGAATTTTGGAAAGTTATTTCTTATGTTGCAGTTCACTGAGAAGCCCGTAGTTATCTTGCATTTGTTTCTACCCAAGATAAATTGACTGCACCTTCATAATTAACCACACTTTATTTATAATACTTTGTGAAAAGTGTAGCTAAATAGTCAGGTTTGTAACTAGGCAGACAGGCAGATGTATAAGTACATGCATAATCTCTCAAGAATGGAACACTGTAGATGTGGGCAGGTTGAGAAAGTCCAGAAGTGAAAAATAATAACAATAAGAGACTTAGACAATCTGATCTATTAGTTTGTTCAACCAAAAGAATATATCATTAGGAAGACATGGTAGGTCTTCAGAATATGGTAAAAGATTGCTCCAGAGAAGAATTTTTATTGTCCCTTGAGAATGTGTAAAAATGGATTTCAGTACAGCAAGATTATCTAGGCTAGACTTTAAGGAAACCTTTTACTGTAAGGAAGGTAAGGTATTGTAGAAGGTTGCTTAGGAGTGGTATGGAATTTCCATCTTCTGTGAACATCTGTGGGTAAGCATCTTTTAGGAGTAGTTTAAGTATATCTAATAGTGTCTCACGTTAAAGGACAATGTGGAATATGAAAAATTTAATTCCCTGATTTTCTTTGTGTATGCTGATTTCAGTAACAGTCTTTCTTTTTAATGGAAAACAGTAGGGTTCTTCTGTACCTAACACTAATATGCTGTGTGTTTGTGTGTGTATAGTTTTCAAACACACAAAAATCAGCAACCAAACACAGCTGTATTTACTAATGATGAATAAGTAGCAGCTTGCCCAAAACAGACAAAATATAAATACCAATGAAACTTAATTTTAAAGACACATCTGTTAGTGAAAATGTTTTTAATAATGAAAGGGTTTGGAGTTTCATCAGTAGGGTTACATGGCAATTGAATGAAAAACCTTTCTTTTGTTTTTGCATTTACTTCAAAGAAATATTATTAGATAGGAGGACCTTAAAATAGAAAAGCTCATCAAGACTACATAAAAGACACTTTAATCTAAGTTTTTGTTTTGATGCTTCACTGTTTCTTTAATTGAAAATAATCTTTGCAGTATCTTGTCTGGCTTTGTTTTCAGCTGTGGTTAGTAGTCCTGCTGCCATTCTGAAAGAGGCAGTCCAGATCAGTTAACAACCCATAATCAATATCATTGTTTGGTTTACAAAATTAAAATGAAGGTTTTTCAGCTGATTGTAGAAGAATGTATGTTCACTTAGAAGTTACTTTGGGAATACATAGTACTATTTGCTCTAAATGAATTATTCCTAAATATCTGCAAAACAAATGAAACATATCCATTTTGCATGTTTTTAGCTGACCCAGGCTGGCACTGCTACAGTTTTTGGGTATTAACCATTCATAAATCCAAGGAAGATTATCACAGATCTTCAATGTAATTCAAGATAATCCACTGTCATCTGCATGACCTTTTTGGCCAAATATGTTGTCTGTTTTTCTTAATTTACAGTGACTGATTTATACTTTTCTTGAAAATTGTCCAGCCATAGAAATTCCATCTTAACATGTTGCTTACTAGAAACAATCACTGTTGTCGTTAATTCTAATAGGTTTTGCCAGCTGTCATACATGGGTGAATATTCTCTGGAGGTAAAGGAAAAATAGTACTTCTGTGAATATTTATGATGCCCTAAAACTTGTCTGAGTTCACTTAAGTCTGGTTTTGCCTCTTCAGAGACAAGAGTGTATTCTATATGTATAAAATGTGGTTTGGAGATCAGCATTTTCATCAGAATTAAAGATGTCTTTGGAAAAGTTATACGAAACTTTTCTGTTCTCTCACTTAGAAGCTTTAAGGTTCAAAAGAATTTAAAATATTAAAAATAGGCTGGTGGTTTATAGAACCATATGGCTACAGCAGGATAATTTGGCCTGTTAATTAATGGCCGTTACCATTACTCTTTCCCAGCTTGTTAGGAGTAGATGATTTTTGCTTATATGTTATGGCTATTGAACATCTGGTTTGGGGTTGGGTTTTTCTTTGCCCCCCCTAATGTCCACCTTTTTCTAAATAGCAGTGTGTCTTACCAAGTGCATGGTTCTCCTGCTTACAGTTAGAGCCCTATCCCTTGGTAGCTTTAGGATAGATAGCCTTTCTGTTCTGTCAGCCTGAGCCTTGCGGTCCTAGAAGAAGTTAAAGCTAAGAAGGGAGTACATCTGCCTCATGTCAGTAGTCAGGACGATTAGTAATAGCAGTCATTTCTCCTTTTCTTCATCCTCTTCCTCCTCCTCCCCCTCACAATGCTCCTGAAGCGTGCCTCTCTCGCTGTGATGCAAGGAGGGCTCTAGAGATAGCTGTGGAAGTTCCCCACGTTGAGGTAATTCTCTTCTGATTTCCTTTGGTTAAGTCCTTTGCACTTCTGTGCAAGATGCTGTGAAACTAGCCTTGGCAAGTAGGGCAACCTGTCCCTTTTGTGTTAAAATTTTCTAAACTGTGGCTTTTCATGGATTGCAATTGCAGTATAGTCAGTCTCTTACATTTGTAGTTGTTCTATTTCTAAGTAAATTGAATTCAGAATTTTCGAATTTACTGTGTTCTTTTGATTATTTTTTTCTTTGTTATAGTTCTGATAGAAAATACATGTTAATCATAGTGGTGTCTTATTCCAGAGTAATTTGGGAGAACCTATTCACTGTTTTGAAAGTAACAGCTAAAATTTATCGCTGAGTTGAGGTGCATGTCAACCTTCAGATTATAGAAGGCGGCAGTGGGAATGTGCTTTCCTTTCCAACTGTCCATGTTGGTCCTTTATTTTAGGCCAGCTAGGGGATAGAAAAACTGGTTTTCAGTGTGTTCACTGATTTATTTATATTAACAATGAGTTGTGTTTTTTAAAACTTTTGGTAATACATGGATTTTTGTCTGCATTGCCAAAATCAATTAACCAAGCCACAGATGAGAAGATGAGAGCACCCTGTGCTCTTAGATTAGTGACTTGTAAACTAGACTTGGTTTTAGTGACCCTGCTTGACCATAACTGTGGCTTACTGTGACTGCGAGCCAGTCACCCCTGGTGGCTTTCCAACTTGCAAATAGGCCATGCAGGACAGGGGGTTTATTAAGTCAGATGCAGAAGTGTACAAATCTGGCTACGCTGCTCAAGACCAGCATGGAGTGAAAATGTTCTGGAGCGCAAAGAATTTGGAACATGCAATTCAGAGACACCCCACGAGGCTATTGGTGAGACAGAGTAACAGCATTACTGCATTATCTGGATTTTTTACCATTATCCAACGTGTCATCCCTTGTGGCAGGAATACAGTTGGATGTATTCAGTTAGACCTGAATACAGTTAGAACTGAAAATTGACATTGACTTTCTTATGCTGGCATTCTGTAATTTTTTCTTAAGCTGTCTGCTTCAAGCAAACTGAAATGTTTTGTCACAAAGACACTTACTTTTCTTCCTTACTCCTGTATACCTTTTCATAATCCACACTTTCCACTATTTAATGTTCTACATGTTCCATGCTATCATCTGTCCAGGCTTCATGCAAGCTAGGTAAATATCTTCCTTTTGTACCTGCTCTTCAAACCTTTATTCTTCAAAGCTGACTGCTTAGAAGAATTTAGAACCACTGCTGGGGTGGTTCTAAATATGAAACATCTGCATCTCTGTAAAACTTGCTAATGTCTTTCTGCAGTCAGTCCTCCTAGCAACACTGCGTAACAGATTTGGTTAGTTTTTCCCTTTAGCTTTGTTCATTAAAATAGCCCAGTGCATACTGTCTCATTTTTGTATGCACATTCTCCAAGTCTCTACCTGGCTGAGCATAGAGTAGAAAGATAAAACTCTTTATATTTCACTGATGTTCTAAATTTTTAATCAACATTTTAAACTTTTTTATAGTCTAACTTACAATTCTTCTAATCATTGTGGTCCTAGAAATCTGCACGGGTAGATAGCCTAATATTGCTTCCACCAGTGAAACTGAGTTGGCATTGGTTAGGCAAGAGGTCACTGTGGTTAGAACCCTTAAATTAAAGCTCTGTGAATCTCTGTGTTTAAAATAGTGAACCTCCTCTGCATGGTCTTGCCTCTGTCTTTTAGGCAGAAACAGGATTTCAAGCCAGCTATGGGGCTGAATGAGAGGAGATGCTCATTGATGTTTAAAAAGTACAAAGCACAGCAGAAATGGTCTCTGCAGCTTTGTACATCAAGAAATTTCAAATATAGCCAAAAGAGCCCAGGTAAATGAAAAAGGAAAGTGTTACTGTCATAGAGAATTAACAATTTCCAACCAATAGGTTTCAGCTTTTTTTTTTTTTTTTTTTCTTTTTTGTTAAAGCAAGTTACAGCTCGGGAGGCTCAATAATCTTGATTTTTATTATGAATCAAAATGACATTTAAAAATTAATACATTTCATGTAACTTAGTTTACACAAAGTTGTCTTCTAGTAAGAGGCTGCTCTGTTTATTATTTCATATCATTCTTCTTTCCCAGAGGATTTCATGGAAGCATGTCAATACGTTGTATAAAATAAAATTCAACAAACGTGTGTGTATATATAATTTACTAGAGCAGAAGTTTGTGCTCACATGAGAGAATTAGATCAATACTCTCCAAAAAGATGCTTCAGAGCAGCGTGCTGCTGTGCACAGCAGGATTCTGGGTAGCTGTTAGCTCTTTGTTATGAGGCTCTAAAGCCCTCCCTAAACAGTGGGCAGTGGCTGGGAGCTCTGTACCTAGGACAGCCTGCACATAGCAACAGTCTGCATCGCACTGCCGCTTATCTTCCCTGGCTTTTGACCCTTCTGGTACAGTTTGGCTGTACTGCATCAGACCAGCAAAGCTTTTGGCCCCTAGATAGATGTTTCATATAGACACCTTACAAAAATCTATTTACTTGGGAGTAATGTGCTACATGAACAAGTATGTAGCATAATCTGTAGCATATATGGCAGATCAGATATGGATGACTGGACAGAAAGGTCTTAACACCTCTTTAAAGTAAACCTCAGCTCAGAAAGTCAGTCAGTCGTAAATTAGGAAGTGTTAGAATGAAAGCTTCCCATGTATTCAACATGACCTGCATTTGTATGCATCATAACAGTTTACTATTTAAACGTTTGGCATAGTTAACTTCTTTACGTGCTACCAAAGGTACTGACTGAAGAGCTACTTAATATTTTATTTTATTCTTTGTTTTCAATATGTAACTCCAAACTTCCTGACTGCTTAACACACAAACCAAGAATAAATATGGTATTTCGTATTTTCTTCTTTGGGGTTTTTGTAGTCATACATGTAACACTTGAGTGTTTCATGGACAGGGGTGAAGTTATCTACGTAAAATCCCTTTGAGGAAGGGAGATATATTTATTTTTCAAGCACGAACATTGGTACATACTGTCATAATTGTCAAAACTGAAAATTAGCTGTAGGTGTGCAGACTGAACTTTGGGTGTCTCATGCTAAGCACCCAGAAGATGGGGGGGAAAAAAGCCTATCTTGGAAAAAGCCTGTCTTATTTGGCTTGGTCAGCATCATACATGAGCACTGGGGAAAAAACCCCAACTGTTAGCTAAACTAACCAGATCTGAATGAGATTTAGAAGCCTCTAAAGTTCTTAAGCCTTTCATTAAAATTGGCAGTGGGTTGGAGAAGACAGGCCCAGATGAGTACCCTTATGAGACAAGGCTGGCACAGGTCCACAATCGTATATTTGGCAGCTGCCTTGCCAGTGAGCACGTGCTTAGCTCTGAACTACCCACCACATGTCTGTTGTTTCCTGGGGAGGAACATGGGGTGGAGGAAAAGCTGGGGGCTGGGGCGGGAGTTTGGGAATAAGCCAGAGGATGCCAGTCTGCTTGTCAGTACAATGCTGCACTGATTCCTCTGCTTACAGAACAGCTTGGTTCCTTGCTCAGTCCAGAGCTCTGTTTTCCTTGCATCTGCCTATTCCGCCATAAATTAGGCGGGGAATGTTGTGGCAGATTGAATCTATCATTTTCCTTCCTTCTCAGCAGTGACCATTCTGTGTACTTAATCAGATGGTTTCTCTGGAGGAAAAAAAAAGCATCGTCTAATTTAAGATGCATCATACACAACAGCAGCAAGCTGAAGTACCACAGGCAATCTTAATTCCAATATTTCTAACTATTCCTTTCAAGTGGTCAAATTTCCAAACTGTTCCTCAGCTGGAAGATGTTATGTAGTTATTTTAAAAAGACAAAAAGTAAAACTATGGGGAAAGGAGAGAATGCAATATATGAAATTATACGGACCTTTTATAGCGCCTTGTCTCTGATTTTTGTTGTTAATGCTACTAGTTATTCCATTAGCTCTAGTAACATGTTACCTTTAGTGCAAATCAGACACTATGGAGAAACTAAACCTGCAATCCAGTGAGTTTTGCAACTGTCTTTAAATTTCAGAGAGACATAGGCATGAGGATTCTGACTTCTGCTCTGTGTCAGAAAAATGAGAACAGCATAACTTAAGTCAGAACAGACATACATCTAGACCTGTCTGCTGTTTCTGCTGGATTAGTGGGATACCTAAGGAAAAGCGCAAGGTGACCATATAGTGATATTTTCATGATATGCTCCTTCAGCTTCCCGATTTACGTAGCTCAGAAAGTTCTTGTACCACAGGTTGTCATTGGCTCATAATTGATTTTTCTTCTAATAATTTTGCTAACTGTATGTTTAATCTGTGTAGATTTTAGCAGGCAATCCTATGATTATGGGATTATAAGCAAGGTATTTCAGAGTTTAACTATTGTGTGAAGTACCTTCTTTGATTCTGTGCCCCCCCTCAAAGAGCAGTAGAAGCAGATCTGTAGAGCAAAACAGTTCATGATAAGGAGCCATCGCCGGCAGAATGCTCACTTCGGGTGTTTTATTTTCAGAGTAGCTCTAGTCTGGCTTCTTGTCACGCAAGCATCTATGAGAGCTTGGAGTACGTTTTTTGGTTTAGTTTCATCGAAAATAACAGTTCTATGCACTCCAAGACCAGACATGAACCAAGGTTTATAAACGGGTATGTCTAAAAGTTTAACTCGAAAAGCCCATGTCTGATCCAAACTAAAACACTGACATAGGCACATCAGCTGAAGTACTTGATTGCTGTCTAAGTAGGAGGCCTTTACTCTTTCTGTCCTGCTGAGGAACTTGGCCCAATAACTTAGCAGAAGTATAATCCAGCAAAGGAAAGAAATTTGAATTTACTGAAAGAGTAGTCCAGTAAATACAAGGACGGACTCAATAAATGAGATAAAACTCCACCAGAGAAAACTGCATGGCATAAAACATCCAATCAAATGGTACAAGATTTCCAAATTTACAAGCAGGTAAGGTAGGATCTTATAAAGTTTTGAGTAAATTGGGTAATTTTCATGGTTGAATCACTTTGGACATTTCATCTGTAAATACATTTTTGTATACAATGGAAGAACTGCAGAAAGTTCTGAATATCTTCAGAATTACTGTTTGTAAAATGGGTTTGTCCCTTCATAAAAGTAATTAAGAATGAGAACAAATATATCATTCCAGTTATCAAGGAAAAAGACAAAGTAATGTCCCATTAATGAAAAACGTGTTTCACTTAAGAAAATGTAAAATTAAAATTAAGTTTTTTATAGATGTACTGCTGAAAATCAATATACAAGATATATCTTATCTTGCATAGTGAGAGAAAAAGTAAAATGTAATAAACTGTGATCCCCTGATGATACCTTCACAGACTCATCTGAACAGATACTGTAACTTTTGCACATGTAATACGAGAGATTACTTTGAGATGCATATTAAAAGTGGTGTTGGTGATGCAAGTCCTTAATCAGGTCCATCAGTTGTAACTCTTCAATTTGAGTGTTTTACTACTTTTTTCCTTTAAATCACTTTTATCATCATTATTTGTAAGATTTTATTCTAAAATGTTAATTATTACCATATAATAGTACCAACTTGATGCATGTAATAACTTTAAATGTAATGCATTTTTCTATATTTATCTCCTTACATGTGTTGTGAATTTAAAAGTATAACGTAGTATGTTCATTTTTAGTACACCTCCTGATAATCTCTCAATTCAAGAATTTCAGAAGAATGAGAGTATTGATGTTGAGGTAAGGAGACTAAAACAAATATACTGTCGAACAAAATGAGATAGTGACATTCACAGATTGCATTTGGTCCTGAAATAATTTGTTGAAAGGTTACCCATTCATTATTTTTTCTGTGATACTGTTTTCCTTTTTGAAAGCAAGACAGGAAATTCATAGGCTCAGTATTCGGCTGCTTTGGAGTTATGCAAAAAGTAGGAAGCGGCATGCCAAAAACTGCTTCTTGTCCACTCAAGTTCAAAACAGTGTGAAGTGGCTAAACCAGAATCTGTTTCTGCCTCTAACCCATTACCTGATTCTTCCTTATTATGTTATTGCCAGGCAATTACACAGGTAATTGTAAACCACAGAGGAAGCTGACAATTAAACCTAAAGTGAGTCCTTTCTGTGTTGAGGGGGAGCATTCAGTCAGCAATGACATTGTTGCACTCTAGATGTGTTCTCAATACTGAAAAGCTTGTGCCTAAATGAAGAAATGATGTCTTTTTGTGCAGTACAGAGACCGCTGTAATTGTAAAAGTGATCATGTTTGGTTGGATAAGGCCGAAAAAAATTAAGAGATGATGATAATTGGAATGAAGAGGGACTGGTCCCCTTTCACTCCAGGACAAAGGGATGTGGCAGGCTGGGGATGAGGGGTACAAAGGAGAAGAGTTGCAGAGAAGACATAGCAGTACCTGTGGGTTTGATTGCCTGTCATCTCTCCAGAGTGGCAGCTGGGACACAAAGATGTCTGGATGAAAAGCGGGAGTGGTTCTGTCTGCAGTGAGCAGAACTCTAATGCGCTAACTTATGGAGATCTAAACCCACTTTGTTCCTGAATGGGAGCATCAAGACCAAGGGCAGAAAGCATTTCACTTAATGTGCATTGCCTTAAGCTCGTTTAGATAATTAACTCACTTGTTCTGCTTTTCAGATGTCACACTGTAAGCATGTGCTATATATGTTAATGTCATAGTGATGATATTGTATCGGGTGGAGGGAGAGGGAGATTCCTAATCTTAGATCTTCTCTTTTCAAAACCATAAATTCGATTTGAAGAACATACTTCAAATGTCAGTGGAAATCTGAGTGATAACTGCTTCAGAAGCTTTGACAAAAGTGTGGCGGGGGGTGGGAGGGAGTTTATTATTTTGGGTTTAATGTTACATGCAAGACCACAATTCTGGACGTATCTGCACATTTTAAAAGCTAGCACTGGAAGATTTTGTGAAGTTTCATTAGGCATGTCTCTTGTTTAATGTTTCTGTCTTCTTCATACTACAATTACAACTTTGATATTCAGAAAACCAATATAAATACATTTAATTTCTTTTAGGTGGTGCAGCTTATCAGTACAGAGATACTGCCATATGCTAATTTTATTCCTAAGGAATTTGTTGGTCAAATAATGACTATGCTCAATAAAGGCTCAATACATTCTCAGTCATCCTCCTTTACAGGTATGGTACCTGAATGACAAAAGATATGGTGTTTAAATCTACTAGAAAGTATTGAAAGTGTTGAAAGTACTTATTCTGATAAAAACTTGAAGTTCCATGGCATGTATTCAGTATAGACTGTTTGATATCTGGCTTGTTTTCATGAACTCTATTTTATTTCATAGAACTTGTCGAGCATTCCTTGCAATTTTTAAAAAATTATTTCCTTACTTCTTGGTCAGTATCATATATAATATTGTACTTATGTTACTTCATACTTTTTACATAGTCTGTTTTGTATTGTGCCAGCTGAAATAGTTCTAACAATAATTTCAGGCAATTGTAAGACAGACATAATATCCTGTTCTTAAAAATGAAATTACCTTAACATAACTACATGGTGTACCTAACCAGATACCTTCTCTGCCTTTAAGAAAAAACATTTATAGTTTTTTGGGAAAGATAAAAAAAATGGACATAAGCCATTACAGAGAAAAATATTTGGATTGTACAGTACCAAATATTAGTACTTATGATGCAGAACTGGGGTTGCTGGGGCTTTTTAATTGATTTTGTATATTTTATTATTAAAGCAGTGTCAAGTAGGTGACGTGTAACTGAATGTGTTGCATATTTTATCTGTTATTTTTTGAACTATCGTGATTGTTGCACAGTCACCTTTTCTTAGAATGTATTCTTAATATTTTTCTTATCACTGTTAATATTTTTTAATACTAGAGGAACAATAACCGTTTTGCAAATTATAATAAACTGATTGAAATGCAACATTTACTGTATTGGCATGTACCCTGCACAATTAAATACGACATTTTACTTTGACAGAAGCCGAAATAGATATTCGAATGAGAGAGGAGTTTTCTAAGGTGTGTTTTGAAACATTGCTCCAGTTTTCATTCAGTAATAAAGTCACAACTCCTCAGGAAGGCTACATCTCTAGAATGGCACTTTCTGTGCTCTTGAAAAGGTCACAGGATGTATTGCATCGCTACATAGAAGATGAGAGATTGAGTGGCAAATGTCCTCTTCCACGGTAGGTACATTGTCTTTAGGAAATGAAAGGTATTACTAGTACTTTGAGAAGAAGGTTGCATTCACAATATCATTTAATGATTAAAAAAATAGTGTGTGGAGGGGGGTGAAATTTAAAGCCAGGGAAATGTTTGTGGGGAAGACATTTCAAAGAAAATGTTGATACTAATTTTTTTGTTGAAAAAGCTTTAAATAATAATGGTTGTATTCAGTCCCGTTACATAGACAATAGGAATATGACTTAGTAACTAACATTTTCAGTTATTGAAACAAGGTTTCTGATATCTATAACATAATATTTCTGAAATCTGGTTTCCTTTTATTCCCAGTAGAGCTATGTATAGTTTCTAAATTGAGAGGTGGAGTCACCTCAAAAATAAGATAAAATATCCAAACAGCAACATTGTGAATCATTACTCAAGTAATTGTTCTTGAAACAGAAAAATGGACCGAAGTACCAGGAAATTCTTTAAAATGGGAACTTATTTAAATTTCACTTAACTTTTGAAGGTTTTGATCACGAATGATGAAATTGATTATTTTTGTGTTACAGTTAATCATGTACATGAATATTTTCAGGTTGATATGTGTATGCTGTTACTGTTTCCAGTATCAAATTTAAAGCTATCTTAGCTGAGACAACGATGATGGTGGGAAAGTTAAAGACAAATGATAACCTTAATCTCTAAATATCCTTTTTTTGCTAGGCTTCATTGCAGCCGTTTCCATTACGTGGTTTATTAACGTTGTGTAAGCTTCACAGAAAACTTAACATTCTTGAGACAAAAATGAGTAGTTGACTGTGCATTTTTCCCTTTGTAGGCAACAAGTAACAGAAATCATCTTTGTTTTAAAAGCTGTCAGTACTCTCATAGATTCACTTAAAAAAACTCAACCTGAAAATGGTAAGTTATTGTTAAACAACATGGTTCTAAACAAGATAAGCTTATGTCTGCCACAAAGACATATTTATTCTTTCCTGCAGTAATTTTCACACAAATTTGAAATAAAAGTGTGATCTGTAAGATGCAGTATTTTGTAATTCTGTGTATATGTAGGTGGCAGGTAGACCAAAAAAAAAAACCCAACCCACAAAGTTTTTCCAGTATACCTAAAAGTATAAGGTCCTAAGATATGTTTAATAAAATAGAAAACTTCAATTTATGGTGTCTTTTATTAGATAGAGCTTGGTGTCTTCTAAAAATAAACAATAAAAAACCTTCTATAAAATGTTAATAGAGTTCTGAAATATATGTAGTCTTGCTAGATCTTTTTTTCTTCTCATGATACCTTTATAGGTTGCTGTGGATCACGTTCACATAGGTTCACTCTGCAATTAAAGGGGTGTACAAGTTAAACGCATGGGTAGGCTGTTAGATACTTAGTGCAGTCTTGCTTTCCCTCTCTTCCTGCTCTAGTACCTCCTGTCCCCTGCATTGAGAAAGATGTCTTAGCTCATTGATGCCCAAGTAAATGGTTGACAGATGTATATGAAGGGCTGAATTAAATGAAGACCTTAACTTCACGTATAATCGTGTGTCTTGTTCCTCCTGTAAGCTGCACCTACTGTATGCGTAAAGAGTTCCCACCAGAAAACTTAGTCAGGAGTCTTAGTTAAACCAGCTGTATTGGACTCTGAAACTGACTGAACTGCGTATACTTCCCTCTACCTCCCTGCTTTTGATGTTATGAGGAACAGAAGAGAACTTTTCAATCCTGAAACAAACAAAGAAACCAGCCTTTCCAGAAAAACACAGGCAGGTGGTTTCCTGAAAGAGGCAGTGCCTCACTTGCAGCATCACTTAGCAGCCAGATTTATGATAATGCTGTTTCCAAGGCTGATGGCAAAAGGCTGAGGGCAGAACTATGCCAGGACACATAAAGCCTTTTGGCGAACCCTGAAGGCAACTGCAGTGCTACTTTGGTGGGCCTTTCTGTTAGAGGGGTGGTAGCCAACTCAGCTGGACTGTTCGCCACACCCCTCTTCCTGCAGTGAGGGAAATTCTTCACCTGGTCCATATGTGGCAGTGATTGCCAAACCTCCTGCATGCTTCCTTATGAAGAGAACCACTGGACAAAGTAGAGAATCACTTTACTCCCACTTCTTCTAGCTTTTAATAATTTTATTTCTTTAAGAAAATTATTGATGTCTGAAATCAGTGGTTTGTTCTCTTTTGAAAACAGAGCTAAAACAGAGATAAGCAAGAAAGTGACATAATAAATAAGATTGATGCTGCAGTGTTTAATTTCACTTGTTGGACTAGCAAACTTTACCATGGATATTTTTGTGTCTTGGTCCAGTGTTTCTCCCTCTGCTTTCTATAGCTCTTGTAATCTGGAATGATTTGAAATTAATAGAAGGCCTCATTGCTGACAAGTTTCCAAAAGTGAAATGTGTGTCCAATTCAATTTTCCGTCAATAGCTTAGAAAAGTAGGCAGAAAATGTATGTGGACTGCGGATTTAATAAAAGTATTATCTTCAGTTTGTCAGTTCTTCATCCAGAAAACACAGTGAATGACTCATATGTAGAAACACAGGTGTGTGGCACCATTTTATGGATATCCCATCTGGCTTCCAGCTGCTGCTGCTACAAAAAAGGAGTATGGCTCTCCCGCTAAAATCCTACATCATATCTGAGAGCCCTGTACAGATGTCGTAGTGTCTGTATAGCACTAGGTACCTATGTTTAGGCACCCAAATGTGCCCTTATTTTTACAGGTATTGAAAAAAATCCGTTGTAAGAATTTGGACAGTAGTAAGTGATTCAGTCTGTTCTTTTCTTCGTTGCAGTTGATGCTAACACATGGGCACAAGTTATTGCCCTGTACCCGACTTTAGTAGAATGTATCACCTGCTCATCCTCGGAAGTGTGCTCTGCTTTGAAAGAGGCACTGGTTCCCTTTAAGGACTTCATGCACCCACCAGCATCCAAGGTACAGAATGGAGAGTCTTGACCCCATAAAACTTTTTTTTTAGTCTTGAAGGAAAAAAAGTATCCAAAAATGTTTGTTCCCGGGTGAAGTTTCTCTGAGGAAATCTCTTGTGACTAGTACTTTGGCAACCAGTGCTGACTGCCTTTTAACTGTACTAACAAGAGCTCAGTAATTCATGAATACAGGCTATATCTCAAAGGTTCCAGAGTGAGTAGCAGTGCAAACCTTTAATAAATTTAACTGAATAGTTGGAATCATTTATAATCTAATGTACTTGCTACAGTATCTTGAAGTGGTGATTGAAAAGTGGGCTTATGTACAGCTTGTTGTGTATGTGTTAATGATGTAATTAAAAATATTTCAATTCAGTCAGATTTATTAGGCTGGTGTTTTGCACCCTTTTTTTGAAGTACGAATTGTACTAAAATTTTATGCAAGATGGTACTGTAACATTCCATATATCTGTAACCAGCCTTTGTAAACAAAGGGAACTGATATACTTGTGTGTATAATAAATGGTACAGTTCTGTATAAAATAGTTGCATTTATTATTTAAATTCTTTTTAAAATATTGATAATGTTAAATGCTTGAAAATGTATTTATTATGAATAAGTTGTATGCTTGCCTTTTTACTTACAGTTTGCCTTCTAAATTGCCAGATATGCTCATTCATATCTGATCATGTTATTAGTTTTTGCTTAATTGAATGTATCTTCTCTGTGGCCATTGGACATCTAACAAAGGGTCATATGACAAAAGATTGCAGCAAGCAGTCAAGAGTCTGCTGATCTCAAACTTCAAAGTAGTTGACCTGAAATAAGTTTGAATATGCAGAAATCCACTGTAGCACTTCAGCACTACCATACCTCACTTCATAATATATTTGTTTCAAGATGTTTGTTCTACTCTATCCATTTTTGTAGTTGTAGCCTTGCTTTAAAAAAAAATACATATTTGAGGGTTGTTAGCCTTTTTTGACCTTCTTGGCAGGTATCACAGTCTTTGAATCATGACCCAAGAAAGGTGATTTCAAATATCTGAAATACCTGGCTGTAATATTTTGTTCAATAATCTTAAGTGCTTTGTTTTGTAATGTCTTTTCAACCCAAACAAATTGTTCTACTCTTTTAATTATAAACTGTGTCTGATATAAAATGATGAGAAGTGTATTTTTGAAGATAGCTACTCATTTAGAAGTGCAGTAAAAGTTGTCATTAAGTAAATGTGAATGTTTCACATAATACACAATCGAAGCAAAACACTTTTGATAGTATTGTTTTTAAAGTTTGTGACTTAGCACTTAAACTCTTATTTAATTAATTATTATTTCAATAATGTTTCACCTGTATTCACATATTTTTAACCTCTGATGTGAAAGCACAAAGGCCAAATGTAAAAAAAAAAAGGAGAGAGAGACAGGTGCCTTTCTATCGATTTCAGAATTTCAGAGCTTACCTTTAGGTTTTTGTTCCTTAAAGTCTTTTGTAGATATTAAAAGAGATTATCATGCATAAGAAATGGTATTATATCTGTTTGCTTTACACTTTCCTGGCTAAAGGGACATTGATCGGTATATGTGAACAGATGTAAAGGTTGTAGGAGCTTCAAGCTGAAGGTGTGATGAAGGGTTAGAAATACCCTGTGTGAATAATGTTATGCCAGCACGGCTTTGAACAGCTTGCTGTGACCAAAGTTGCATGGAACTTAATTGTCAAGCGTGGATAGTTTTTAGAGAACACATAGTTTACATTAAGGAAACAAATGCTTCTCATTAATAGAATTTATGTCAAAATGGCTCCTTAGGAGGAGCAGTTCCAGTATACTGCAGAACTGGGTCCCACATAGAGATAACAACATTATCCGTACTCTGAAAGTGAAAACCTGGCAACTGCTCTCCTAATTAGTGGAAGATAAGTCAAGCTCTATGAGGTCATTGAAGAAACAAAGGGTAGGACAGGAAAGATGGGCATTAATTTGTTTTAGAATGTATTATCTTAACCAGAATTTCTGGAAAGAGGTGTGCAGACCAAACTGAAGGTGAGTTTGTTTCCAGTTAGATTCTAATTGGTTTTTCGGTGATAACACAGATAAATTCTGTTCAATGAAGCAATTCTTCAGCTTTATCTGTTTTTTCAAAAGGAGGTTTATAAGTCTTTCCTAACTCCAGAACTTAGAAAATTTACCACCTATGGACATTCATCGTCAAAAGGTTTTGAAATAAAATACCAATGAGCTAACTTGCCTTCCTTTCCTCTTAATTACAAAATTAATAATATCTGTGCTATTTGAGGCATGTTTTGGACATGCAAGCTGAGGCTAACCATAATCAAACCGCTTTCTTGTATTTAGTGTAAATAGTTTGAGAACTAAAAACAAAGCTCCTTAGTTTAGAAAAGAAGTTTTTCATTGAGTAGTTTTGTCTGTGAATAAGAATTATTCCCTTTACTGTGCCTTCTTGTCCAGTGCTCCATTATTTCTTCCAACTTGGAAGTATCAGTTTCTTTTTTCTATTTGTACTTTTTGCTAAATTTTCTTAGGCCTTCTTTGATGCAAACAGCATTTTTTAATATTTAAATTTCACATTCTTACATGTTCTAACAAGGTAAGTCTTGTTCCTGAAGAAATTTAACTTGATGTTACCTATTGAGTAGACGCACATCCAAGTTGTTTTCAAGTCTGTAGGGTTGCTTAGTCATGAGAAGTAAAACGTGGACATTTTCAGGATTGTGTCTGCATTGTGTCACTGAAATCAGCTAGAAAAGGGGTACAGCTGACTGTATAGAAATATGTCAGCTGGAAGTTAGAGGAAGAGCATTAATTGCTTATTGAATGTAACCACAGTCTTCATCTTTTTTCTTCTTCTCCCCAACTTTAAAAAAGACATGGATTGGGAATCTAAAGAGAAAATATGAGTGTCTTACAGATTATTAGAAGGTTCATATCAAGATTTTTGATGGCTTGGGAAAACTTCTGTGTCTCAATGCCATGACCATTGCCTTAATGTACACAAGGATTTAAGACTACATAGTAACTCTGATTAAGAAAAAGAAACAGATGCTTCAAGCAGACAACTTCTTATAAAAAGTCTTATTCTTAGAAGTAACCTACAGTGGTTATTTGCTTATCATCAGTGATCCTTATTTAACTGGACATCCGTTTCGTTCCTTTTTACATGTGCCTGCTTTCCCACCTGTTTTATTGGTGAACTGTGGAACGTTACTGGACATTAAGCCCCATGAAATACATGGTCACTTGTAGTTATTTAAAAGAGCAAGTAGGAGTACATCTGTGCAACTTAAGCAGTTCATCTTATTCTGCAGATAGGGTTGGCTTTTTTTTTTTTTCACCCAGATTGAGTTGTTTCTTCATGCCAAACGGCAAATTTTCTTATAGCTGGCCTTTTGAACCCTTCAGGCAAGATGTTTTTAGTGAGGTTAATGCCTTTCTTTTCCTCAGCACGTGGCAAACATGAGTACTAGTCATCAATGTATTCTACAGAAATTCATTTAGAAGTTCAGGATACTACTGTTCTTGGGGGGGGAAAAAAAGCTTGTTTTCTCCTCATCTTTTTCTGTACGGCTCAGTTCTATGTCTTTCACTAGTTGTTCACCTCAAATATGCAGCTTGCTACTCATTTCCTATGTGGGCAGGCATCTTCTACAACCTTCAACTTGAATCCTCCTGAATAAGGTGAGGCTCTTTACATGAAAGAAGGAATTGCTGGGCACAGCTGCATTGTGAGTGGTGCACATTCTGACTGTAGGTACTGCCACATGCCTATAAGGCTGTACAGAGTGGAGTGTGTCAGAAAGATACAAGTAAGGCAGCCTAGGGTGCAGGTTTTGTTTAAACTGGGATCCAAACTAGTGCACAAACATGGCCTACATCTGTACATGTACATCATTTAATTTCCATCAGCAAAATATTAATGGATAGAATATTTGTATTCCCTGAGAAAAGCAAATTTTAAAAAAGTAGTTAGTTGAACTTCTGCATAGGTGAAAAGACTTTCCTCCTGAAACATTGGCTGATAATAACTTCCAGTAACTTTTTGTGCTTTAAAAATGTGGCAAATTTTAAGGTATTGTGCAGTGTCTACAGAAGCAGTAAGTTAGCTTAATTCACATTTCATTGTATTCAGTGGAGGTTCTACTGTTTGACTTCACAAGGGGAAAAAAAAATGATCAGTGCTGTCTCAAAAGACCACGGTCTACCATGTCTAATTCTTTGGAATTTCCTCAGTTGTATAGCCTCAGACTAGTATCTTAGAATATATTCCAAATTCTTGGAAGTTAATTTCAGGTTACATGATGACAACGCTAGGATATTCCAGCTGTGTCCTTACATATAGCAGTGAGTTCTGCTGTCATCCTCTTTTTTCTTTTCCTGTTTGGTTGGGTTTTGTTTTTTACTTCATGATAATGCAAGGAAAAAAAAGGGAATGATTTTATATTGGAGTTGAGACAAAAGCATTCTTCTATAGTACCTTTATATGCCACTGTACTCACAACATTCTTCTTTCAGTGTTTTTGAAGTTTTATTCATTCTGACAAAAGAATATAGATCTACATATATAGTTCACTTTATCTGCCCTGGGACTCATAATTTAGTTGAGACCTTGCTTATTGTAACAAAATGTGAACTAGCAACTCCAGTCGGGGTTCTTCTGTTTTCTTCTTCGCCCTAAAGAAATTGTAACATGCAATGTAGAATACTGTTTAGCCTTGTTCTTAATGTTGTTTATCTAGATGTAGCTATAAGGGAAGATCTACAGAAATTCTAGTTTGTTTTTCTTGAAAATACTATTTTGGAAATTTGCTATATGTGAAATAAACTGTATAGGAATAAATCAAGTAAAAGTATTAACAGTGTTTACAGTTTATAGTAATCTTCTACAATCATGTGGAATAAAAAGTAAATTCTTTGCAATTCCTATTTTGTTTAGGCATTGGGCCATAAAGTTACACTTTTGTTTATGCAAGCAGTTAAGGCTCCTGTA